CCCTTTTGTTATCAATAAAACACACCTTCACATTTTCTTTTAAACAGTTCTATTTGCGATTGTTGTAAATTTCAGTAACATTCCCTCCTTTAGAACGCAAAGTTTATGCCTCACATTATCACAAAGAAAAAGCAAAACAATAATGCATAATTCTTTTACGCCTTTTATAGCAAAATGAGTTCCGGTTTAATTGAACAACAAGTGGGGGTCCATAGGAATAATAATACGATTATGATGGTAGTGTTAGTAAAATCTTGTTGTGTTAGTAATATAGATAAAAGTTAGTCATTACTTCTGGTATTTAATTGAGTACGAATATCTTCAGAAGATTGTTCTAAATTCACAGGAAGCATTTTGTAAACAAATGATAATAATCAAAGTGAAATTTGAGCTGAATATTTATATTCACTGTCGCTCATAACGTTGGAATATTTCGTTTTTACCCCAATTTATGGAATTTTGTTGACAATGATTTATTCCTAATAGATCTAGATAATAGTATACTTTCTTAGATGTTATGGAATAATAATTTGCCAGTGTTTGTTTTGGGTGACTGCCAAAGTATGTGTATGTTAATATGCTTATCAACTAGGGGACCTACACCCGTAAGTCACAAATGACAGTAATGACGATTAATGCCCCACAAAAGGGCACTAATATAGCACATCTGCACGGTTGTTATAAAAAATGTAATAAATTTTGAATAATTCATTGCATTTTACCCCGGTCTCCAACATTAAAAAATTCTCTGTACAGCCATGCATTATGGCTCAAAGCATGGGCACACAGAAAAATAAATTCTGTTGGGGACCGGGAAAATTCAATGAAATATTAATAATCTATTGCATTTTCTTTGTTTTGTTTTTATTTGTGGGAACTGCCCCCTACCCTAGCCCCCGCTGCGTACAGTCATGGTTCAGTGGCAAAGCAATGGCCTCGTAACTGTGAGGCCCCAGGATCAAAACTTCAATTCAATTCAATTCAATTCAAAAGACTTTATTTTCGTTAAAAAACAAACAAATATATAGATGTGATAAAGTACAGACAGTTTAAAATATACAAATTATGAGCATTGTGTTAAATTAATTTAAACAAACTGTGAAAATGAGTAGGAAGCTTATGTTTGCTTGTTGATTCAGGCGTCCAAATGAATAAAATAATTACGCATAAATATATAATAACATAATAATGAGTATTGCGCATGGCTTTGTTCTACCCCTCCCTCCCTCCCCACCCCACCCCACCACCACCTCCCCCTCCCCTTCTGTTTCTCTTATGGTAATTTACAAATTATATTTTATTTTGAAATAGGTAGTAAACTAAAACAAATTAAAGGGATAATAGATATATTTTAAGATTTTTCTTAAAACCGTGTCGATGTGCTGTATAAGTGCCCTTTTGTGGGGCATTAATCCTCATTACTGTCATTTACGACTTCAGGGCGTAGATCCCCTAGTTGATAAGCATATTAGCATACACATGCTTTAGCAGTTACGCAAAACAAACACTGGCAAATTATTATTCAATAAAATCTGAGAATGTATACTATCATCTAGATCAATTAGGAATAAATCATTGTCAAACAAAATCCATACATTGGAATAAAGAAAAATATTCCAACGTTATGAGCGACAATGTGTGTATATATATATATATATATATATGTATATATATATCTTTGCATTTTTGATGGATATGGTACAATAAGTACATTATGACAAATAGAGCACCCACATATACATTATTTTAACCACAAAAAAAAAATCATCAAAGTTATTTCCGATTTACAATAAATTATTTGATGCAGTTCCTATGAAGTTACTGTGTCTTCCAGCCAAGCCTACAGTCAGAAGTACTACGTAGATTGCGGCTTGTTTGATTTGTTTAGCTGTACAAGATACAGGTGAGATACCTACTATTATCGATTATTCATATTAAATTTTTGGTTTTGTTGTTAATTCTCAAGAAAATCGCTGGTCCTGGTCACTTCAAAAATATAGAATTTCCAACCAAAAAGTCATCGGTAGTCGAAGTGGTAGTGGTGTCACAACCACCCCCTTCCCCTCTATCACTGTCTCTTTGTCTGTCTGTCTGTCTCTCTCCCTCCCTAGCTCTCTTCCTCCCTCGCTTTCTCTCTCTCTCTCTCTTTCACTCTCTCTCTCTCTCTCTCTCTCTCTCAATTATCTTATCTACATGTGTATAATATAATAATAATAACAATTATACAACTTCCACACAACTGCGCCAGGAGTGTCATTTTTGACAGACATGGCGCATTATAAATGTTCAGTATTATTATTATTATTATTATTATTATTATTATTATTATTATTATTATTATTATTATTATTATTATTATTATTATTATTATTATTATTATTATTATTATTATTATTAATATTGTGTCAATTTAATAATGTTCTATTAGTATGATTTTACGTAAAACATCATTGTTACCATAAATGTATTTTTCTTAAATGTTCTTTATGTTATGCACTTTTATTTGAAAATAGTAAATTAATGAACTTAACTGGAACTTGAGCTATTCTTATTTGATTATGGTTTTTACTATTCTAATTTGACTTTCGTTCCATTATGATTAATGAACATGTGTTTCTTTATTATGTCAATAAAAGAACGGTGGCATAATGTTCATTCCACTGAAATGGCCTATGTGCCGTGTGTATATATGTTTACAATTTATATGTTCAGATATTTGATTATTGCTATGGAAATAAAAAAATAAAAAAAACAAACTAATATTATCAAAATTGAAACGAATGAAGGATGTTAAGTCGTGTATTAACACAATTTTTTGTACTGGTTTCTTGTAGAACACTTTACCGTACGGTTTATTCGTCTCAGACTAGATGTTGTCCGGGGTTTTTAGGCCCTCCTTGTATTGGTAAGTTACATGAACTTAATATTATATCAAAATATATCATGTTGTATATCAAGAGGGCGGTGCATAAGATAAAGTAGATGAGCAGAGCCCTTTTATGAACAAACACGGTAGCGCAATCCAGGCCTTTTAAAAATGTTGTTATGATTGTACATTCATCCATTCTTCTTCTTAATCTTCTTCTTTCTCTTCTTCTTCTTCCCCTTCTTTTTCTTCTTCTTCTTCCTCTTCTACTCATTCCCCTTCTTTTTTCCTCTTTTTCTTCTTTGTCTTCTTCCTCTTCCCTTTTCCCCTCTTTTTTCTTCTTTTTCCCCCTTTTGTTCGTCTCCTCATTTTTCTCCTCTTTCTTCCCCTTTTTCTCTTTATCTTCTTTTTTGTCTTCTTCTATGCAGTGTGAGTCAAACAAAGTTTACACCTAGAAAATTGTATAAAATCATCTATGAATATATGAAACAGTGTTTCATCCCGAATCAGTTAGTATCATTTTTGTGTGGTATTTGTTCACGCTTGGATGAACAGGAGTTTGCGAGAGTGCAAAAATCGACTTGCGCCAAAGTTGCTAATGTGATGTTTGAATAAAACAATTCGGATTTGAGTATTAATTCGATCATTGCAGTGTAGCACTGCCGTTATCTGACGTCATTTTTAATGAATATTCATGTTTTGATTAAAGCTTATCAGTATAGTTTACAGGAGAAATTAGAGCACTCTGCAAGGTCACATGGACAGGTTGTTATCTCATCAACTCAGTCAAATAACATAAGAAAAAGAGGATCATGGGGGACCAATGGTCACCGATTAGGCATTGTTTTCTAAATAAAGGGAGCAAGTAGCTACAAGTAGTGCAGTGCTAATATTTGTTTAAGTATAATATTTCTGTTTACATGTATACATTTTTTATACAAAGTATTATCAACAAAATTATACTCTGAATCACCATTTATTAGAATATACGCATTAATATAGGCATTAATGAGTAATAATATTAATAATAATAATAACGACAACAATTATAATAATAAAAATAAACACAATAATAATGATAATGATAATTAAAATGACGATGATAATGATGATAATAATAATGATAATTATAATAACAATGATAATAATAAAGCTAAAAATGATTATAGTAATAACAAAAGTAATAGTGCTTATAAAGAGGGCTATCGTGGTGCAACCGTGGGCTGAATTTGCATGCCACTGATGTTATATTTTGTTGCATCACGTGAGCCTATTCCTCCAAAACGATTAAGCATTTGTATACATTATTTGAGTAAAGTGAATTTTAAATTGTGTATTTTTCTTAATCTGAAACGAAACAATTTGGCATGAACACATCTTTATGTTTATATGTTTTGTATTGTATGCCCTGCTTTGGCAGTTAGCCATGACCTGGACTACTCTTATTATATGTCTGTGACTGTGCAATTCTTTTATGTTTATACCATGTTCCTTTATTGAAGATTGATAATAAAGTGATACAAAATCAAAATTGATTCATGTTCTTGTTTACTTTCTAATTAGTATTGATAGTGCGTATAGAATGTAAACAATAACCACGTTTTTAGATTCAATGCGTTTTTTGGCACACCGCCCATCTCTCGCGTACAGTTGAGAGCCCTAATGTTTTGTGCTCTTGGTCATAATTGACTACTTTTTATGACTTTTTCAACTTATCAGTGCCCAAATTTCAGTTTACTACTTCAGTGAGGTGCATAGCAACTCTTGCTTGGGCCTGATTGGACATTTGATCTTCATGTTTTCAACGCAATTTTCGTCATAACGATTTCATCCAAGAACTGACCTCGCCTTCGCATAGCTATAGGTTATAGGGTCATAGCTTCTTGTCAGTTCTATGTGATGGGGTTCCCGTTCAATGTGTAGTCTGCATTGTACTTTGTAGCTACATACGTGAACTTCATCCTGGGAAGTTTCCCATTCAGCAGTTAGTTTGTGCAGATTGCAGCTAGATCTACGTGAACTTCACGGAACCTCCACTTTCAACGACCAGAGTAAAGATCAATTAGTGTCTTTCTCCATCGGATTTTCAACGGATTTTCTTCCAGTTTTAAGATCGTCCGTCGGTGTAGCGTTCGTCGCCCAGGGAGCTGGTCTACTACACGGCCACTACGCTAACAGCGACTCGTGGGGGGCCGGGGACTACACGCGATCGACACATCTTTACAGTAGGCCTATTTTACTTAGCGAGAACAATCAAGCCAGCCAGGTTTCTTCGTCTTCGACCACAGTTTGATGGTTAGTATTAAAAAAACATAACATTGCGTGATACACAGACTCCTATCAGATCTAGTACAGCTACATGTGAAGTAGTTACCATGTTTACACAGTGAAGCATTGAAGTTGACAACTGCCAATCTAACCTGGGGCTGTTTTGTATAGACTACTATTGATTTTGTTCTTGTGCATGTTTTTATACCAACAATCACGTTGAATTCACGTTTAGAACATCTAGATCATTTTATGAAATAATCGCCATCATTCATGTCAAGAAGAACTTATTTTGTACCCTTGTACCTTCTGAACCTTCTGAAATTGGAGTCAGCAGGGCGGTATTCCGCATGTCGCTAACTTGTATGGCAGGTGATGCATGCTAGAGTGTGTTTCTGAAATTATACTAAGGCTGCGACGGGTAGTCGACTGCTCGAGTACCCGCACTGTTGACAACTACTCAGGTACGATTTCTCGTACCTGAATATTCGGCTGGAAAAAAAAAAAAATAAATAAAAAAAATAAATGTCCAGGCCCACGCTTACCTGTGCCAGGGAGAGCGGCGACCGCTGGCATGGTACCGTCGGTAAAAATGTTTCCCAACTCAAGCACTGTCAAACTCACCTTTCGGAAACTGGGACCAAATGTCCAGATTTCTGTTTGGACTTGGAGGAAAATGGATTATTCTGCCATCTTTGGTTTTTAAAACAGCATTGTTTACTGTAATTATTCTTATTAAATCGGCGCCTTCAACTGCAACTCAAAGTAAAATTGCATGCATTTTCGGCGAGGGACCTGGGAAACTGGGGAGTGGTATGGTAGTAGCAAAAAAAGAAAAAAAATCACAAAAAATCAAAAAATCAAAAAATTAAAAAAAAAATCAATTTTTTTTAAAAAAATTCAAAAAAATTATAAAAAAACATGGCGTCTGAATACTCGAGTATTCGCTTGTGAGCCTGGGAGTGTACTCGGGTACCTCATTACACTGTTATGCACAGCCTTATTGTATACCAAACAGTCATCTGCGAATAGTCTTGTCTGGCTTTTCAGCAGGTCTGGAAGGTCATCAGGAACAGTAACGGCCCGAGCACTGTCCCCTGGGGCACCCCGGATAGAACATTGCTTGTTGATGACATACTACCTTCACAAGTCACTCTCTGGGTTCGGAATGTCAAGAAATTCCTAAGCCACCGATGTGTAATTGTGTATGGTGTCTAATCCCGTAGTAGTGAAGCTTTTCCAGTAGTCGTTCATGTGGAACCTTGTTGAACGCTTTAGCAAAGTCCAAGATGGCCATTTGTACCGTTTTTCACTTTCTAGTATGGTTCACAATTTGTTTGTGTTCATTAATTTATTTTAAGGCATTAACATTCGACCATTATTATAGGCTGGTATCAGACTCAACCAAGGTTGATTTTGTCATAATATATCGCTTTCAAGCACTAATTTTGTGTAATAGTACATAAGCATTGTCCTAGACGGTATACTTTGTATGTTTGCATCTTTTCTTTTACAAACCTGATACCATTAATATTTTCTAGCATTAAGAAAGTGCAGCATCAAGGTGTCAGTAGTCACTGACTTTTGTATTGATATACAGCCATATTTTAAAGGACAGTTTTAGCTTTTTACTTTTAGGTAAAGGGAATATTTGTTTTTTTCCTTTTTAGCGACAAGTTGTTTGATAGTCGTTGATTTTATATCACAGCCCTACAGGAAGTGTGTCCTGTTATTTTCAAGTTGATGTTTTAGTACACAGATTTTGTGTCTATTGATTAAATATCAGTTATAAATTTCAGTGAAACTTTACATTTTTGTTTTCTTTTGTAGTCTAATGAAAGACTATCTTGTATGGTTGAACTTGACTTAATTAGTATAAGTTGAGATTGAGAGGTGATAAATGCAGCTTTCTAAATTCCAGTGAATGTTCAAAGTTTGATTAGAGTGAGAAATTGGTTTATGTTAACCGGTACATTAATAATCATTACCCTGAAATAAGATAGATCCCCTCAAGCTCGTTTTACTAAAGCAGATTCAAATAACATCCCTAACAAAATTAATCATGCTACACATATCAGATATCGAATATCAAATATCAACGAACACTTGTGCGCGCGCCATTGTGTGTTAATGTGTGAATTTGCGTCTGCAAAAAGCATATGCAATGCATCTCATTTGATAGATTCAATTCATTCTCTCACTTTAATCCCAACATATCACATACTGACAGTAGGCACCACTTTGGCGCAAGTCGATTTTTGCACTCTCGCGAACAATGCCTCCTGTTCATACAAGCGCGAACTACACAAAAATGATATCAAATGATTTGGGATAAAACGCTCTTTCATAAAATGTATAATAATCTACTGTCCATAGCTAATTAAAAAATTAACAATTTTCTAGGTATAAACTTTTTTTTTACTCACACGGTACAGTGTATATGTTATACCTACTTCCTTTTAAGGAGTTTTGTTAATTATGAAAAGTGAATAAAGGATTTGTTAAGGGTGATGAGAAGGGGACAGGCATAATCAGGCAGCCTGGATGGTTTGGAGCAGCGGGAGGGGGGTTGGCCCATCGCCCCCTCTGTGGATCAGCGCCTGCCCTCCACTAAACCCATAACCATCGCAGCTAAATCACTATGCCCGCCCCTTTTCATCTACATCAAACAGTCCTATCAAGTGTTCATAATTAATAATAACACCTAAAACGGAGTAGGTAATGTACACTCCTTTATAACCCATTAACGCCACTCCCCTGCCCCTCCTTTATATCCCATTATTTTATTATATCCCACTCTTTTATACCCATTAACGCCCCTCGCTAGCATCTCTCCCATTATCCCATTCTATCCCACTCTCTTGTATCCCATTAATTCCCGTCCTGACGCCAACCCCCCCCCCTTCCGCTAGCCCCTGACCAACCAGACTACATGACTATGCCCAACCCCGTCTCATCACCCTAACAAAAAACATGCCCACTCTTCATAATTACTTTAAAAGAAAATCTTTTTCCTCTTCTTCGTCTGCGCCTCTTTCTCCTTCTTCTTCTCCTTCTTCCCTTCATCTTCTTCTTCTTTTTTGTTGTTGTTCTTCTCTCTCTCTTCAAATGTTGTATTAGATCGTCATTGCCTTGTTTTCATTCACATTCTGCCCCATTAATATTCTCCTCCTTCTTAGTGTTTTCCTTATCTTCCTTATCTTCAGGAAATTGCATTTGTTTTGCACATAGTGCTTGTTATTCCTAGTTAGGTGCTTTCCTCATGTCCTTTTCCTTTCAAATTTCATAGGCTTGGTCTTTAACATCTCATCAAGGTCACTACATTCTTCGATTTTCGAAATCACTCATGCATAACCGTCCAAGCGCCATTTTGTTTGTTTCTGGTCCATTTTAAGGCCTTTCTTTCTTCCTTCCTATCTCCACCATCCTAGATCCCACAAACTTCTAACAAATTCCCCTAGATACTCCAAGAGATGTTCTTTTATCTGCGACGCATAACCTGACCTTCAAAATGCCATCATGGTACTTTGGTATCTTTAAAATTCTTGAAAAATGGACCCCTAAAAATCTAAAACTGCCATAACTTTCTTATAGAAATTCTGTTTTGTTTTTAAATCTCACAGTATCTTTATCTCCTAATTGTGCATAGCCATGTCAAATTTCACGCTCCAATGGCTATGCAAAACATAGATAGCGCCCTTTAAAGTTCTGGGAATTGTCTTTCTTTCTGTGGCTGTATCTCTATTGTGTCTTGGCAAACCTGTATCTTTTTTTGGATTTAGATACTTGAACATATGCCCTTTCCAGCCAAATGCAAAATTATATACCCTAATGCTGACCGATTTTGCAAAAAATGCCCTCCAAATATGCAATTTTCAAGAAATTGAGAAGTAACTTCAACTTGCTCTAAAATTACGATCCTTAGACCTATGTCAATGAAACTTGGCTGACACATGTATCCATATAGGTGACAACTGTCTGCTAAGTTTGGTAAAATTTGATTATGTATTATGTAATAGTGCGCTTAATTCGTGCAGTACATTGCGCGCAAATGAGAATGGTGTCAAACTCACCGCAATGAAGTGCCCTTTCGAATGATACCAAGTATGGTATATGTTCACACAGAAAAATTGTGAGTAAATGGCATTTGAACAAAGGTCACTATAGGAATTCTGCCGAGTTTCCGCCAAGTTATAACACATATCGGCTATGACGTCATTTTTTTCAGACTGCTTTTCGCTCCTCTACCGTCCATTTTTCCTCTTGTAATTTAGTAAGCGAATTATGGCTGGCCAAACACAGGGCCTCTCGAAGCCGGATTTTTAAAATTCGTCAAGGGAGCCGTGTATGACGCCATTTTATACTCTGCATGATTGTGTTAGTATGTGCGGCCGTTTGTGCCACATGTTAATCATGCACCAAATCCCATTGGTTTTTGCACCTAGTGCTTGCGAGCCATTTCTAGGTCCCTTCCTTTAATCTAATTTCCTTCAAAATTTGTAGGCGTAGTATCTAGCGTTCTGGCAAGGTCACTACTTTTTTCGTTCTCCTGAAACCATCATGCGTGACCATCCAGGCGCCATTTTGTCCGTTTCGGGCCGTTTTGGTAACATTTCTTTCGCCCTTCCTATCTCCATTATCACTGAAGCTACAGACTTCGTACACATTGCTCTGGATAGTCCAAGAGATTCTCCTTCGTCTGACACGTAGACAGATGGAATGCATATCGTTGTGACACGATTTCATTTCGAGTTATTATTATGATTATCATTATTTGTATTATTATCGTTTTAATTATTATTATCACTAGTACTATTATTATCATTATCATTGTAGCCATTAATTCATTTTTGTATCCAGTATTGGTATTTACATGTACATGTATATCATAATCCTTTCTTCTTATGCGGAAAATAAGAATAGACAAAAAACCGAACCATATTGTAACAAGAAAGTGTCCCTAAATATGACTACGATGAAAAAGACAGAGAAATTATGTTCAAAGGGTCTCGGGGTCGTTATTGATACGCATGATGCCGCACATTACATTTATGACCCAAATCTGCAGATACAAATTCAGCATGACAAATAACTACAGGGCGTATCAATAATAATAATAATTAATACTTAGCTTTTATATAGCGCTTAATACAAATGTCTCTAAGCGCTTTACAAATATACTACTACCCCGGTCATTGGAGTTAGTGCTTGCCCGCACACAATCTCCGCTCCCTGGGAAGCATTTCAGCCAGGCGTTACTTGACGCTCAAAAACTGTTTGACCAACAATGACGGTCGCATCCTACCGGGTACCCATTTAACACCTGGGTGAAGAGTAGCAAGTGCAGGTTAATACATGTATCTTGCCAAAGGTGCCGCGTCGGGATTCGAACCCTCGATCTTCGCATCTCCAGTCAAGCGCCTTTAACCACTCAACCACGACACTCCCAATAAAAAGTGTAACCGATTTGGTAATTCCTGATTGAAAAATCATTACCAATGTGACTTGGGGAATCTCTCTCATGATAAAGAGTAACCTATTTTCTGTTCAATGATACCCTATTAATAATATTTCTGCCACTGCTAAATGAGCACCTGGGTCTTTAAAAAGTGTTGTCAAAATCGCCTTGCTCCACGTTTGGGCTTAAGGAACCATCGTGGGTCAAGCCATATGCAACTGCTTCTTTAGTCTTAAATCCTTTTAAAAGTTAAATTGTGCCTCGTGCTTCAGTGCTTCATTGTTTAAAATGATGCATTGTAAATAGGCTTTCACAGAACGTTGTTTCAATCGACGGGATAACCTTTAATTACTTTAAACAGCCTACTAACTTCTTGTCTCTTGATATCTAAGTTCTCTCTGCTCACATGTCTACTGCACCATTTCACACGCGAGGTGTTTATCTCGAATAGCGATCGAAAACTCAAAACTTACTTCACCCAAAACCAAGAAAGAACATTTATGATGATAAATATCAAATGAGTTGAGAGCAGACTTTCATAAAAAAGATAACACCCCAGATGAACTGTTTCCATTTTGTATCACTCAATGAGAAGGTTACCTTAAACAAGGGATGCAAATGATTACAAGATTGTAATCATCATAACGGAGAGAATGTCATAAATTTTGCTTGGAATAAGCATTTATTTGAGGTAGAGTTGATGCTAACATTTTTGTTTTTAACCGTCTAATAGACAATATAAATAAAAGGACAATTGTTGTGGAATGAGATAACACATGACATAATGGCTTTTGACCCACATTCTTCGCTTCAGCCCAAACTTGGTACAAAAGGATTTTGACAATACTTTTTGAAAATCCTGCTGTTCGTTTGTTTGATTTTATTTGTTCAGTCATCCTTGGCAGCACAATTTAAAAAAAAATGGTATCATTAAACAGGGTATTGGTGCTTCTTTACAATACGAAACGATTCAACTGAAGGTCACACAGGTTATAACATTTTAATTAGAAGCTACCGAAAGTGGGTACTCTTTTTGTATACGCGCTGTATACATATGGCAAATGGAGCCAACAAATAACAATACTGTAACTAGTCAAGATTGGCCCATTTAAATGCACCGTAATGTATGACAATAAATTAATCATCGACATGAAACGCACCTTATATTCACATCAAAGGGAATTTAATATCAGATATGATATTAATATCACAAAGTTATCGAATGTATTTGATACAATATAGTTCGAACTCAGGACGTGTGTTTTTGGGTGGTGTTTTTCCCCTTTCTTTGAGGGACAAACACAAATTTTCTGTATGCATTAATATTATTTTATGATTTCATCTATAATCTCTTTTTCCAAGATATAAACGAATGCTTATCTGATCCGTGTGTGAATGGAGGAGAATGCTCAAACGACCGGAATCATTTCTCATGTTCTTGCCCTAGTGGGTGGACGGGATCAAGGTGTGAGCTAGGTAAGTAAACTCAATATTTTACCACCCAACGAATCAAATTGGAGGTAATGAATCTTTAATTATTAGGTAAATGTTCCTGGCCAGACATCATCATAACATTAGTCAATTTGATCATTGTTATTTCCAGTTCCCGAAAGTGACCATTTATTAGTTGCTCCCATGTTGTAAAACGGAGAGTAAAATACAAAGTTATTTAATTTACATGGAATCAATGGATTTTCCCCAGTGTATATTTTAGACATGCTGCCCCCCTCCACCCCCTATAATCATTGAGATTATGATCATGAGGTAAATATGATTGAGAATCCTTGAACACGCTCTCTGCTTGGTGATGAATCATTTGCTGAACCTTGGTTGTGGAACAGTATTCCTCGGTACTTTGTGACCTAATGTATAATTTAAAAACCCAATAAAGACATACCTATACCACATTGCTCACAACTAGATACTATTCACAGTCTTTCTCAAGTGAATCATGAACGGTATATCAAGTAGTTTTGTTCAACTTCATCAGTGCCTTTGACTAGGTAACTACTGTAGATATCGGCGCTCTACAATTTCCCGGATTAGACAAGATACCATACTGATCTCAAACTACTGGTATCAATGAAAAAATATATCATATATTCATTTTAACAAATGTAACCTAATTCTGTGCAGATATGTTTCAATAGATACACAAAATTATCACTTGCATTCATACATTCTCTACACTATCACAACTAGACTGACTATTTATTGACTTTTCCTTCTACGCAGACGTGAACGAGTGCTTGTCTAACCCGTGTATTAACGCAGTGACTTGTGAAAATCTCCAGGATGCATTCCGTTGTTACTGCAATTCTGGCTGGACGGGAACAAGATGTGATAGCGGTGACTATATTTTTCCTTTCATGTTTTGTTTTAGATATAAACCGCAAGCACCTTTTTTGTATGTGATTTGATTTGATTTAAGATGATGTTCATAAAAAAATTAATGACCTTGTCAGATGAATAATAATGATTATAGTAATAATAATAATAATAATAATAATACTGGTGACTTGGTAATATTCATAGTAATTCATACCAATGTTTCTTAGCAATGTACTTTTATTACCTGGTATTAACCATGCCGCCCAAATAAGGTGCTCTAATACTCAAGGAAATTATTATCATCTGATTGAAGAGTGGCAAATGCAGATTATCTTTCGCCGAACTCCATCGGAACTATTAGAAAGAGGGTGCTTCTTTTGTTATTTCCTTTCTTTCCACTCAAATATCCAACACTAAAATAACATGTATGAACCATGCAGTTTTATTAATATAATATAATAAATGAATTATAACAGTAACGAATACGGATTGGTATCTACGACAGAAAATAAGTTTACACAGTACATTTAAGTCGAAAATAATACAAAATATTTTATATTGGTTGATTTAACTGAGAGGGGAAAAAGGTAATCTCAGAAAAGCTAGGCTTGTTGAGCGAGATTGCCAGTATGAATTAAGTGCTAGACTATCGTCAGCGTGCATCAAATCTTGCGCATGCCTGCTCCTACTGAGATCCCAGACGCGCGAATGCACCCACCTGCGTAATCGGCTAACTGTATTACTACCGGTAAAAAGCACGAAATTAGTTTTTCCTATATCGGGTGATAACATATTTGCTTGGCTCCAGTCATTCACAGAATGTAATTCTATATCTATAGTATCTTAGAGAATATGAGGGTAACGATGTGAATAGAAAATGTTAGAATCAGCTGCAAACTTAGGAAACAAAAAGGGAAAAAGGTATCAGAGGAATTCTTGAAATAATTTATGTATATAATGCACAGAAGGGGACCAAGGAGAAAACCCTGAGGAACCCCACATTGTAACACTTTTGAATGTGATACAGAGTTATTAATGGAAACAAACCGAGTTCAAATTTGCATTTTGTTAATAAAAAGGATAGACAGTGAAGGAAAACTAAAGAAATACATGTAGCCTACATCAAGGACAGAAAAGAAGAGAAATTGATCTCGTCTAATACTTCACCTAGAGTTTCATTTAGATTATAAATGTTTATTGTATAAAACTAAATATCAAGCACAGTAGACAACTCTGCCCAAGTACTAGCTTTGTTTAATAAGCTGTTTTTTCATGTTCAATTGCCATAGGTTTCTCTTTCTCTCTTTCTCTCTCTCCCTCTTCGTATTAAGTTATTGTTCATCTTGCTTTAAGGCACGATCTTTTATTAATTTTTTTATTATGTGAAGTCTTTGCTTTTTTATAAATATATAGTTTTCATCTTGTCATAAAATAATGCAACAATGTTTTTGTACCATATGCATATTTACCTCTAATAAATGTAGATTATTTGATATTTATTACATTACAAAGAATGTTCTAACCTTTCCTTCTATGCAGATTTTGACGAGTGCTCGTCTAACCCGTGCTCCAATGGAGCGCATTGTAACAATCTTCAGAATGCATACAGTTGTACCTGTAATTCCGGCTGGGAGGGAACAAGATGTCAAGATGGTGACTATTTTTCTTCCTTTCTATTGATGTTTTGTTTTGCATGTAAAACCTCAAACACAATTTGTGTATGTAATTTGGTTTGATATAAGATGATGTTCATAACAAAAAAGTAATGTCCTTGTCAAATAAATAACAATATCAATAATAATGATGATGGTAATAATACTCATATTAAAATAATAATAATAATAATAACAATAACAATAATAACTAGACTTTAATTCGTCACTTAGACGAATTAGGTGATACGTATGATATTGGTTTACATAACGAAGAATGCATTACACGATATCATATTATTTTATATGCGGTAAGTAAAAAATAAATATCGACTGCCTATTTGGGGGTCACGTTTACTACCACCTTGGTATTAAATGTCGAGACTGCACTTTGCAGCTCAACTACGTCTCGGCCGGGCACAGTACAGTTTTGACATCGCTTAGGCAATAGCTTTAACCATGCCCGTCTAAACAGTCACTATTTATATTTAATATTACTAGAATGGTTTCAATCATTGTGTATTGAGAATCAGCCATCAATAGTGGAGCGCCTGCATATGAACTGCCAATTCTGGCAGACATGAGCGCTATACAAAAACCTATCGTCATTATCATATCATTGCGAGTTTATTGTACTCAAGCATGTGAATTGAATAATGGTTGCTGCCTAATTGTTTTAACTTTTTCACGTTCTCTTCCTCTGTTTGTTAGAAATTGACGAATGTGAATCTCGACCTTGTCGAAATGATGGTGTATGTGAAGATGAGTTCAATGCGTTTGTCTGCGATTGCCAATCTGGTTGGACAGGGACAACGTGTGAAGAAGGTAGGACTATAAGCCCTCTCCATCTCGTATTACTAATTTTCCATTGTCAGGTATTGTTTTTTAATTTCTTGCCCCCAAAAGGGTACTCTTCTAGGATGATTACAATTGTAAAGACTTTCAACAAATAAACCTAAGGCAGATTAGATAACCTTGTCCTTCAGATATTGAAATATTTTAGCATTACAATGGCCTATTATAATCTGAACGTGATTTCTATGTGATGTACAGTTGGGTATTGAAACTACCTTTTGAGTTGATTTCTCGAAAATAATTATGATCATATTACTGGTGATTGATTGGCAGAGGTTAACGTGACCGAAATTATTATATCAGAACTAGGTAAATAACATAGGCCCTCTGAAATTTAATAATAATTGTTCTGTAAATGTAGTACCTAATTCTTTGGAATCGAATATCAATATGATAACTAAGTATTGAGCCAATCACCGTCCGTGTCTTTTCATAAGTTTTAATGAAAATATATAAGCTAATTTAAAAACTAAATTGTTTCAACGCCAGGTTTGGCTTTATTTACCGAGTGTAAAAACATACAAATACGTAGGCCTACTAACGCAATATGCAATATGACAAATAGTTTTGGAAGGATCACCTTGTCCAGCTGTTCTGCTGAGAGATATTTGATGATCCAACACGTTTTGTTTTAAGCGAATAATTGCAGGGCCATACAAATAACAGCATATTGCATGGTGCTAATGATGTGTCACTGGGTACATCAACTTGTTATTATTATAAGGCTAGGATTGCAGTTAGTTTTTAGCAATAGGTTTTTAAAAAATTAGTGTGCCGTGACTATTACAAAGGTTGAAAAAACAACGCGCTAGACCACACCACAGGTACATTTTAGATTTAGGGTTAGAAGTAGGGTTAATGTTAAACTGAGGGTTGTAAATCGGTTTTATGATTAGGGTTATGGTTAGGGTTAAGGCTATGCTGAGGGTTGCAGTTGAGCTTTAGGTTTAGAGTTAGGATTAAGGTAATTAGACTATTATGAAGAAATAATGAAGAAATTATTACCATAACTATAACGAGAAGACTAGGATTCTAACTAATCTTATAAGATTGCTGAGAATCGTCTGCATTCTTTTTTTTGGAAATGATGAGGGCGCCTGCATGCTGAAACAGCTTTTTCACAGAAAAAAATCTCCTTTTTTCCACTTTATGTTGTAAGCTAAATGGACAGATGTAAATACCTGTTGCGATAGTATTCACATATTCAGGAATTAACTGACTTTTTTATGTAACTATTAGTGTTAATGATGAGGGGTTTCAAGCATACTGTTTTGTAATTGTGAATGCACTAGTCCCTTGTACTGACTGTTTGTGTAATGTTATCTTGAACTAATGCTCCCGGGCCGAGTGGGATAGATTCACACATAGCTATCCTGGTTGTGTACTAAACGCTGTTTTATTGATTCTCAACATTTCAAACACCTCTGTACAAAACACAACTGATTTCACTCATAATCTGTACTTTAGTGACAATAGAATATAGATAACACCTAAAATACAATTCCTTTTAGCTTACTGATGTTAAAAAGAATAATTAAAACATTCAAATTGTGTGGTGTGTGTATTTGTGTATTATACCTGCCTCTCAGCAAGTATGAAGTGCTTGAGGTCAATACGCATTATCATTGGCTGTATGCTTTGCTGGAGTGGGATAGATCGAGTAACAAACAAGCGAGCGCGATCATCTCTTTGATTAGACCGAAAGCTTCAGTCCTGATATCGACGGTTGTTCTGCTGAGATCACATCTTGCTTCTCTGACCGCCTCTATACATAGACTGAATTACGTCATATGGGGGTAGTGTAGGGAACGAATGGTTCGGTTCGGCCGGACCGAGATAAATGAGATTTGCAACGAGTCTTTTCACTCTTTACGTCTTCATATATTATCCACTTTGGCTGCAATATAACACTGGGTCTTATTTTTTTTTAAATAACATGGAAATATCTACTTTGACTTACGAAACCTTGCTCATTGAGATCCTAAATTAATGATTAACCCGGAAAAGTCTTGTCGGGTTGCCGTCTGTGTATTGGGGAATGTTGTGAAATGTCAGTTTTATTTAAGAATGACTCATACTAGACGGTTATTTCTGTCTACTCTTTGATCTCCCATTGAATCCATCTCGTATGACCATCGGGCGATCATTTAGCCAAAGAAAATGATAGAAAGAAAAACAAAGAAATACCTAAGAAAAAACAGAGAAACATAAGGGAAGAGAGAAGAAAGATAAAGAAATGAATATGGATAGCTAGAAATTTATAGAAAGATAGACAAACATCTACATAAGGATAGGTAGAAAAACAAAAACATACATAATATAACGAAAGACAAATAATTATATAAGGAAAGATAATGATAGATGTAAAATGATAGAAAGAATAACTTACCTTAGGAAGATATTTGAGGAAAGAACAAAAGAAGGATGTACAAAGAAATAAGGATAGAAAGAAATGATAGAAAAGCAAAACAAGGAATAAAATTAGAAAATAGGCCTATAGGAAACAAGCGAAGTATAACAAAAAGGAAAGGAAAGACAGAGAGAAAAGGAAGAACAACCAAACACACGTACATCTAGGACTTCACTTAATGACCCGTTTTTTAACTTAAAATATAAACTTATGTTGTATAACAATAACTTGAATATCAAGTGCAGTATACAGCTCTGCCCAAGCACTAGCTTTCTTTAATAAGCTTGTATTTTATGTCTATTTTCATTTGTCATAGGTTTCTCTCTCTCTCTCTTTCTTTCTCTCTCTCTTTGTCTTATGTTATCTTTCATCATGCTCTAAATAAGGCATGAGCATTGTCTTGTTTTGTATCATGTGCAATATTTGCTTTCTTGAAATACATATAAATATTAATCTTGTTATAAAAAATTGCATTAATTGTTTGTCTTTATGTTCACATTTACCTGTAATAAAGGTTGATTGTTTGATATTCCGACCATTACCAAGAATGATCTGACTTTTCCTTCTTTGCAGATTTTGACGAGTGCTTGTCTAACCCGTGTATTAATGCAGTGTCTTGTATCGATCTTGAGAATGCATTCCAGTGTGTCTGTGATTCTGGCTGGACGGGAACAAGATGTCAAACTGGTGACTATTTTTTCCTTCCTTTTGATGTACATTGTAGCTGTCGTGGTTGAGTGGATATTGCACCGGACTGTGGATCACAAGGTCCGCAGTTCGAGTCCCGCCGCGGCACTTATGTCCTTCGGCCAGACATTAATCTACATTTGGTTTACTTGACCCAGTTGAGATTAATGGGAATCTGGCAGGAATTAAATCCTTGAAATGAAATGATATGAAAAGCTAGAGCGCCGTAATGGCAGCCATGCTAAAGCCGGAGTAATAATGTCCAAAGCTCTTTGGTAGCACATACCGTAATGACGATATAATGTGATATACGCTTTAAAAGAACCAAATATTATTATTTGTATTATTATGTTTTGTTGTGCATGTAAAACCTCAAGCACAACTCTTTGTATGTGTTTTGATTTGATGTAAGATGATGTTCGTACAAAATTAATGTCCTTGTCAGATAAATAATAATAATTAGAATTAAGATGATAATAATGACATTCATAACGATAAATATTTAAAAAATAATGATAATAATAATCATGATAACAACATCACTAAATATGATGATACATTGGTAGCATTATTAGTGCTTGAAACTAATGTATCCAAGCGATGAACATATATTTACATGTATAGATTTTTAATTGACTGCTGGGCATTTCTGAAAAATATATTTACCGGGCATAGTTCTTCTTCTCGTAACTCTCAGAATCATGAACTATTGGAAAAAATGACATATACAATCAAATCAATGTGTTGCTGAGTCAATGAAAAGACGACAGACATGAGAGCAGGGTATTCTACTGACACCACTTCAGATTTACTTAACTGACATCTACTGCTAGCAATGTCCCACAGTGCATCACCAACTGAAAGAGTGCGCTTGATGATCACTGAGCTTAAGGTACAGTGGTGATGATGATTGGGTACATGAACCAGAAATCAATCTGTGTACACTTTCACCAAAATATGGCGCAATTTAAAATCCATTACAGCAGTGAAAGTGTTGTCAGTTAAATTTCCTGCCTTCAATTGATAACAAATAAACTAGAGCGAAATACATGGTATCATTTCTTTATTTTTTATTTCGTAGATGTGAATGAATGCATGTCAAATCCATGTGTTAACGATGGTTTATGCAACAATCTTCAGAATGCATTTACCTGTACCTGTGTAAACGGCTGGACAGGAACGAGGTGCGAGGAAGGCAAGTCTATTCGCTTGTAAAATAATATGTACATATATATATATTTATATTAGAAAGCTCTGGCAGATACAAAGTTGTGAATGGTCTAAAGTTCTTCACATAATATCAATTGCAATAACCGTGATTAGAATAATTTCTCTCTCAGTAATTTTTCGATTATTAAATTTGTTATGACTAACCTGTCAAATGAGTATATTATTGCATTGTACTTGCTTCTGTATCTCCAAGCAACCCTGCGCACGTACCCATTGTTTGAATTTTCTCAGCTGTGTGCATTTGATGCGGAAGGCTAGACGGCCCAATACAATTTTGTTTTTTAAAGGCATGATGCAGAGCTGCCAACCCTCCCAAATTTGTCTCCTGACATCCTGACACACACAAAGAATCTCCCGGATTCTTACAATTTAAAAAAAAATCCCGGTTATATCATTTTATGTGGGGTTTCACGTTATCTAAGTGTAACCTTGCACATGTGTGAGCGACTTTATGTTGACTTTCTTTGACCTAGTCAAGTAGATACCCTATTTTCACGATCTTTGCAAACATCTATGAGAATGCATTTGTACAAAACGTGTCAATGTGTGCCTTATCAGCTAAAAATAATGTTATAATCAGAGCGTATTTGATACCTGCATGCTTATATGCAAAAAGGGGTCACATTTTGTGGAAAATATTTAATTAAAATTACAATAAAAACACAGAAATAAGTAATCAAGCAATATCGTATTGACAATTGAAGTTCCCGGATGACAGAGCAATACAAAAACAATATTGATCTGTCATCCCGGTACTGCGCTAAAGATATTAGATACACTGATTTATTGTACCACTTGGAAGCCTTATATAGATAATAATGGGAAATAGTAGCAAATAATGGTAAATACTGGGAAATACTCGTATGCAAACAAATAATATTGTACAATGTGTAGTAAGCGTGTAGGCTTTGATAGCATTATCTTTGTAAATTCCATTTTTAAATTAGACTCAGAATGTATTTTGATTGTCCTTACCGCTGATAGATTTTGACGAGTGTTACGTAAGACCGTGTCACAATGGAGGAAATTGTACAAATCTTCAAGATGCCTTCTCTTGTACGTGTATGCAGGGATGGACTGGATCTACATGTGATGAAGGTAACTATTCATCAAACTTATTCGGCATATAAGTAATTCTTGAACACAAGAATTAACCACTCCTTCAAAAGCAACATCTTCTGGAAAAAAGTTTCAAAGTCTCTTTATAAAACAACCAGGAAAAAACATGAAGACAGCTTCTGAATATATGATTCTTTATATTTCGGATATATTAAATACATATATATATTAACAAGAACAATTCAATCCTTCCCCCCCCCTCCCTCTCGTTGTATGGTAGCCCATCAATTGATGGTACCCCGATGACCCTACATCTGCGTTGGGCTTTATTACATCAGAGTCATGGGGTTAGGTTTATGGTAAGAGTTGCGATTGGGTCTAAGGTTGGATAGTGAATATTATAAGACCAAAGTTTAAGATTGAATTAAGGTTGGAGTTTTGCCCTGTGTACGGCTTGAACAGCGGGACGAAAATACTATCGCCGGAGCATGGAACGTAACTTGGCTACCCCAATACCCGGAGCCCTAGCAGCAAATATGTTTGTTTTGTGAATAATATTGATGCCGGTAAAGCTATCTTTTTCTTCATCTTCTCCTTCTCTATCTTCTTCTTCCCTTTCTTCTTTTAAAATATTCTTTTTCTTCCTATTTTTCTTCTTTTTCTTCCTATTTTTTCTTATTCTTTTTCTCATAGTTCTTCTTTATATGTCCCTAAAACCCCTTCTTATTATTATTCCTCCTCTTCTTGTTTTTCTTCTTCTTCTTTTTCCACTTTCTTCATTTTCTATTTTTTTCTCTTCTTCTTCTCCTTCTTTTTCATCTTCCTTCTTATTCCTCCTCTACATCTGTTTCTTCTTCAAATGTTCCTGAAATCTTCTTCTTTTTCTTCATCTTTTTTTGTCTTCATTTTCTTCTTCTTGTTTTGGTCTTAGGGTTAAAGTTTCACTTGGATGTTGATTTTATGGAAATTAGTTATGATTTTGAGTTCAATGTCAACATGGTTAATGTTCTGTCATGTGTACGAAATTGAGAGCAGAGTATTGTCACTGAAACATGGATCATACATTCGTTAACCCAATACTGACGAGAGCCTTGAAAGCACTTTTCGAATATTTATTTCTTGTAATAACATTTTACTCTTCTTTTCTTCTTCTTCTTCTTCTTCTTCTTTTTCTTTTTCTTCTTCTTCTTCTGCTTCTGCTTTTTCTTCTTTTCTTCTTCTTTTTCTTCTCCCTTTTCCTCTTCCTTCTTCTTCCTCTTTTTCTGCTTTTTCTCTTCCTCTTCTTTTCTTTTTCTTCCTTTCCTTGTTCTTGTTCCTCTTTTCCTCTTCTTCCTCTTTTTCTTTTTCTTCTTCCTCTTTTTCTTTTTCTTCTTCATCTTCTTCTTCTGTTCTTTTTCTTCCTCCTCTTCTTCTTCTTCATCTTCTTCTTCTTCTTCTTCTTCTTCTTCTTCTTCTTCTTTTTCCTTTTCCTTCTTCTTCCTCTTTTTCTGTTTTTTACTCTTCCTCTTTTTTTCTTTTGTTTTCTCTCCTTGTTCTTGTTGTTGTTCCTCTTTTCCTCTTCCTCGTCTTCCTCTTTTTCTTCTTCTTCTTCCTATCCTTCTTTCCCCCCTTGTTCTTCATTCTAGATGTGGATGAATGTGCCTTGGGTCATAACTGTAGTCAGAAGTGCATCGATAATGGCATGGGTATGGGATATAGCTGTGCCTGTTATCAAGGCTATCAACTTCAGCCAGATGGAACATCGTGTCAAGGTATTAGTCTTATAAATTTGATGTTTAAAAACCTGGTTTTGGATGTTCAAAATATGTAATACTTTGGACGAATCATCCATATTGATATTAATCAAGCTAAAGGGGAATCCAACCCTTGTAATTGGTTTATTAGTATAAAGGCAGAAATAAAAAAGACAAACTGAATTGCGAAAGTTTGGAATAAATAGGACAAATAATAAGGGTGTTTGACTGTCTTGAATATGAGATCAATCGATGCAAATATCAAATTGGAAATGTTGTCAGTCGATTGTGAAATAATCAAACTTCCCTGTTTGTTGTGTAGGCCTTTATCATAATTTATGTTTTCTCCCAATTGCTTTCTCCCTTGAGGCAGTACTAAAAGATATTATGGATAATACATTATTAAAGGTCCCTTAAAAATAAAAGACCCTCCAGAGTCATGAAAAAATGCCATTTGAGTCATTTGTGTGTTGGAACAAATGGGATAGTTGTCCGGAACTACATCACAGAACATTGTCGATTCAGCCAATTGGAAGTTGAGTTCCCATACGTACAGTGATTACATCTTTCCAAAATACATAACTTTCTTATCCTTGCCCGGTTTGGTTCAAACTTGCACCAGTCTGCTTCACCGGTTTCCTGCTTAAATTAAGAGTTGTATGCTATTTTCCTTTAACCTTGTAATCACTGCAAGACTTAAGTTTTGTTTTGTTGGTTTGATAAGTGACAGCATTGTGAGTACTCCCAGTTTTTACAACGAATATATTCAACCTGCAATGCAACTTGAAGTTACAGAAACATGAGAATTATGTAAAAACTGTGACTCATTATTTACCCGTTCAGCAAATAAAATAGTAACAGCACATGAATAATTTTAAGTGTATACTATCGAATCTGTAAATGAAAGTAGAGAGACGTAAGATTGTGTGAAAATCTTGTCCTAATGCCTAGGTCACATTTGCCGCGGTGGCCGTGCGGCCTGAAGTATTTACGGCCAATAGTAATTATATGTAGGACCGCTGCAGCATTTCCCCGGGCACATATGTTAGGGTAGCCGCACGGCGTATTCTGAATTTGTGAAATCTGCGGCTGCCGTACGTCCTTCAAAGTGATGACGTAAGGTCGCCTCTAGGCCCTGGGGTGACCCTGAGGCCACCGGAGATTCTCTGCGGCCGCCGCAGGATTATGCCTAGGTCACATTTGCTCTACGGCTAGGATACGGCGGCCGTACGCCCCCGAAATTGAGAGACACTTGCGGCGGCCGCAGAGAATCTGCTGTGGCATCAAGGTCACTCAGGGCGTATCCCTATCTTTACAGGTCGTACGGGTCACCATAGGATTATAACGCGGAGTTATAATTATTTTCATTTCTAGGTTCGCTGTAGCGATTACACACGCCGTAGCCACGCAGTAGAGCGGTCAACGGCGACCGTACGTCGGGCTTGCGGTAGTATTGCGTTTACACACTTCAGGGGGAGAAGCAGCAGCTTCAGTCTGGCCGCACGGTCGCCGTATAGTCCCCCTTTCGGCCGCCTTGTGGACACCTTGCGGTTTCTTTGCGTCTGCCTTAGTATATGTCAAAAAGGTACGGCCGTCACAGGGATGACCTAAGGCGACAGTACGTCATCGCTGCAAAGGTCGTACGGCAGCTGCACATTCTCCACCCATTCAAAATACGCCGTGCGGCTACCCTAACATATGTGACCGCAACCGTTTTTGACGGTGGGAACGCTGCGGCAAATGCGACCTAGGCATAATGTTCAGTCGATATTACGGCGACTCTTTTTCCATTTGTAATTTTTCAGACGTGGACGAATGTGTTGTAGTCCGTGACTGCGGTCAAGAATGCTCAAACACTGAAGGCAGCTACATCTGTTCGTGCAATGATGGATACAGTCTTGATATCGATATGAGGACATGTAATGGTACAAATACACAAGTGGCACATCCTCAAGGGTACAGGGGCACATCCACCCCTCTCCTCCTCCCCCTCCTCCCAATCGGATATCCAAAAGCCTATGAATGAAATGAAATGAAGGAGATAGATAGGAAATAGAGTTGGAGATTTAAAACAAAATAATTGACACAATAAAATCTCATATAAAAGTTACATTTATTAAGTAAAATTCTTCCAAATGCACTTTATTGCCCATAAACGTAAATGTATTTCACATTTCATTAAACATTTCCATTGATACAATACATAAAAGTTTTTAAAGTGAGGTCTTAAAGACACTTTCTGGGAAGAGGTGAAAAAATAATTTGTGAGCATTATCATTCTTATTATGCAAGTGTGGAAGAACATCATATAAGACATGTTCCCTGAAAAGCATGGCTCTTCAAATGCCTTCATATTCGAAATATGTCATGTAACATCGTAAAACTGGGGGTAGGATTTTTACGCCACGTGTTTGTGACGTAGTCCCATATACATCTTTCTGTGTACAGTGTTTGTATCTTACCAAGACTTGGCCAAATTTCTTATCATTTTGATGATTCCAGAACCTTGCAATACACACAAAAAATATTCTTATATGCTAGATGATCAACCTTTTGTGGTCGATTCCACATCGATGCTTTCACAATAAAATAGCATGACCAGAAGTCAACTCCATCTTTAATCACAAGAGAATTATATGCAATTATGAAGTACAATTCTTCCTATTCTGTTCAAAAATCACTAGCACACAAATACAAGTCACAATTTGGAAGCATGCTGTGATTTACAATGTACATGTATATTGTGAAATTTATTTTTCATTTTCATCTCATTTTTTCCAGAAATTGATGAGTGTTTGTCAAATCCATGTTTCAATGGAGTATGCACTGATCTCCTCAGCTCTTATTCCTGTACTTGCTCGCCTGGTTGGCTTGGCTTCCAATGTAACAATGGTAATGACTTCATAAGTGCTATACCTGCAAGTCATAATTTGTTGCACTTTGTCTCTTTCAAAATACTGAACAACCGACCTGGTAAAATACAGCTCTCACTGTAATTGCTCCTTGAACGATGCAAAGTATGTTGTTGTTAATTATATGTTGAGATCATGTGTTAAGCTTATTATGCCCAATGATTTATTTTTTTGGTATATCCATCGATGTACAGAAATAATACATTTCACGCACTAGTGTTTTTCGGACGTGGTTCATGTAAAACCACGTTATCAATTACCCATCGAATAGAATATTGTCAACTATATTTGCCAACTTTTTGGCCAACTTATTAACATTCATATGTTAAGATGTTCTCTAGATTTCCCAGGTGAATTAATATGCTCAACTTAAGGCTTTCGGTATAAAATTTGGTAGCTTTGGTAGTGAGGTGTATAGACGAGCTGTGTAAAAGAATTGTATGAACTTCTATTGAAAACAACAAAAGTCTTGTTATCAGTCTTTTTTTTCTTTATAACTTTCTAACCTTTCTTCCTTCATTCCTTTAGATACCGGGTTCTTTGACAAAATAATGTTTTTATCAAAAATTACAAGATCGTGTAACCTAACCTGGCATCCCAGTACACCGACAGCCCAGTAGGCAGTAGGAGTAGGCGGACATCCTAACGAGACCGACAGTTCACAAGACTGAATGTTGGGTTCATGGAGCCTCAGATTGCTTTACAGAAGTCTTGTGAGCTGTCGTTCTCACAGGTTGACAGCTTGCAACCTTTATTTAAGCTTTTAATTGTGATAATGTGATAATGTCCGACACCAATTCATTTAAAGAGTAGGATTAAGAACATAGGACTAAAACCCTCTGTTATTGGCATCATTTGTGTCTGTTTTGATTTTGCAGATATTGACGAATGTAGTTCAGCAGACATGAATGCATGTAGTCAGAATTGTACCAATATTGCCGGATCATACGACTGTTCCTGTACAGCAGGATATGAGCTTCATCATGATGGCACAACGTGTAACGGTAAGTAAAGTCCAAGCTAGACTTTGTTGGTAATTTGCTGTCCAAACGTTACAAACTTTAGTATATTGTTATGGAAATAATGTGACATCATGTCATCCGTTCGAAGGTTTATTAGGACTATTGACATATTGCCAAAGATCAGACACAGAAAGTCTAGGATGTTGTCGGTATCAAGCCCTGGTAACAACTGGCCATATGCGCCTCTCTAGCTCTGTGTCTGCTTTACACCGTGTTTGCAGACAATCCTTGCATCAGACATTTGTTGAAGAGCATTTCCTACCTGCCCAGTAATCCCTGCATGTGGCTATGGTATTTGATGGAGGTAGGTAATACGTGCAGCAGTAGTACTTTTTTGCAAACGTTAAATGGGCTTTTGGCGAGCATCCCAGGGCTTCTTGTAGTCAGGGGCGTCGCTAGACCTTTTTCAGTGGGAGGGGGGGGGGGGGGGGGGGAGGTGTAGCGCCCAAGGATTACCAACAAAATTAAATGTCCCAATATCTACAAATTTAACCCTATAAACCCGGGGGCCGAAGGCCAATTTGCTTTTCCAATGAAGTATCTATAGTACTTGCGTATTCGCAAATGGTCATTTTTCTCGACGACATAAATATAAAAATTATTTTGTCAACTCAGTCCACATCATAGCTATATATTTAATGGAGGCGCGTAGGTAGGATCTTATTTTAGGGAAGGGCGGTAGTGTTTAAGCAAATCACTTAAAGAGCAGGCAAGCGGTGAAAGGCCTCCCGCGCAAAGCGCGGAAGCTTAGAAGATTCATTAAATTACTAGGAAAAGTAGACGAATCGTTGTACCGTTCTCGACTCTTAATCCTTGTCTGAATGAATCCCCCCCACGCGCGAAGCGCAGAAGTTTTGATGAATCATTAAATTATTATGAAAAGAAAACGATTTCTTGTACCGTTCTCCACTCTTAACCCTAATTGTCTGAATTTGCTTTGACATTTCAATAAATTATGGGAAAAAGCAGACGCTTCTTTGTACTGTTCTCGACTCTTAACCCTTATCTGATTTCAGTTTTCCCCCTTCCGCGCAAAGCGCGGAAGCATAGATGTTTAGGTAAATTATTAGAGAAAGAAGACGATTTGTTGTACCGTTTTCGACTCTTAATAAGCCCTAATCGCCTGAATTCAATTTCCCCCCTCCCGCGCAAAGCGCAAAAGCTTAGACGTTTCCTTAAGTTATTATAGAAAGAAGACGATTTGTTGTACCATTCGCAACACTTAACCCTAATTGTCTGAATTCAGTTTCCCCCTCCCGCGGAAGCTTTGACGTTTCCTTAAATTATGAGAGAAAGCAGATGATTTGTTGTACTGTTCTTGAATCCCCCCCCCACGCGAAGCGCGGAAGCTTAGACGTTTTACTTGAATTATTAGAGAAAGAAGACGATTCGTTGTACCGTTCTCGACTCTTAATCCTCGTCTAAAAGAGTTTCCCCCTCACGTGGAAGCTGTCGCGTTTCATCAAAATATTAGAGAAAGGAAGACAATTAATATGTTTATATGGAGGGTGTAAGGCGCCCACGAGGGATCGTAAGAATAATGCCTAGGTCACATGTGCCTCGGCGGCTGTGCGGTCTAAACTATATACGGCCAATAGTAATTACAGGTCCACCGCAGCATTCCCACTGTCATATACCGTAGCGGTCAAATATGTTGGGGTAGCTGCACGGCGTATTTTGAATTTGTGGTGACAGAAAACCGGCGGCTGCCGTATGACCTTTGAAGTGACGACGCACGGTGGCCTTAAGGCTGCCCTAGGGCGCCCATGGAATTCCTGCGGCAGCCGCAATTGGTTTGGGTTCTGCAAAAGTCAATTTTAATTCATAAGACCCTAGGTCAGTCGCATCGCAAATGCAAGGCCACCGTACACCTGACGTATAGTCACCATGGAACCGCTTTATGGCATGGCTGAGGCTTGTCTAATTGCTACGACGAATCTAGAAATGACAAAAAGTTATAATTCTGCGTTATTATCCTGGCCGTGGCCGCTGCAAGTATCTTTCGATTTCAGAGGCGTACGGCTGCCGTATTCTAGCCGTAGAGCAAATGTGACCTAGGCATAACAAGCAACTAGCAGAAGTAATGCCTAGATTACATTTGCCCAGGGCGCCTTACGATAAATTAGTCTTCGATTTTTCGTGCAATTTTTGGGGCATCGCAGGAGTCTACGGGCTATGATGTTTGTGTATACATTATCTGGAGATACGCGCAGGACACGGGCTTCGTAGACTAATCGCAGGCCAAGTGTAATCCATGCATTATTGTCCTACATCCTTACCGCAGCTGCAGACACATGGTGATGCCTAGATTACATTTGGCCTGCGATTACAATACAAGAAATGGCACGATGCTCTTAGATAATGTAAACACAAACATCGAAGCCTCCTACAATACCCCCAAAATCGTATGAAGGATCGTAGATCCTTTTTCATTAATCCTCATTACCGATTCCCTTGGAGGGGACTTAAAGCCACCGTTCTCCTGGTTGCTTACTTACACGCTTCTCAATGCTTTTTTAACAATCAGGTAAAACAAACCATCAAAACATAAAGATACTCACTTTGTAGAGGTGTCATTGTCGAGTGGATATGTCTCCGGACTGTCGATCACAAGGTCCGCGGTTCGAATCCGGTCGCGGCACTAATGTCCTTTGGCAAGACATTGATATACATGTACATTTGCCACACTCAACCCATGTGATGTAAATGGGTACCTGGCAGGAATTAATTCCTTGAAATGCTAGAGCGCCGTAATGGCAGCCGTGGTAAATCCAGGGTAATAATCGAGAACGCCAAGAGTGTCAAGTCTGACATACCCGAGCGCTATACAAGAACCCACTATTATTATAGCTTGTCATGTTTTCTTTTATTGACACCTCGATCAAAAAAATCTAACCATGGACATCTTTCAGCAATACTGTATTATATAGAAGCACTTCCGCAAAATCCCCTCTAGCGCCATCTCAGGTCAGCTCTAGCAGTATGGTACCGTAAATCTCAGCTTCCCTAGCTGCATTGTTGATTTTCACATTGGGTTCTCTGCAAAGTGGAAATTAAGTATTGGGTTATGCACTTTTGCCAATTTGACGTAGAGATGGCGTTGTGCAATAAACTGTATGCAATGGCAGGAAGTCCATCAGTTCAGTATTGTGTCAACAGCGGGATTCTTTCATAGTTTTGTAAAATGTGCTTCTGTGTACCGAAGTAATCAAATTAAGGTTTAACTTATCAAATGGCCACCATTCAAACTATATGCATTCACATACAAGATGAAATTTACTACAGACCACCATTCTTTTAAACCCATGGCAAAGGCGATTTTTATTTTTCCCCTTTTTTAAGGTCGATGCTATATCATCCATGATTGAATTTGGATGAACAACTGATCAAATTAAAGTAGATGTTTTTCAACAATTAGAGGTTCCCTGTTATAAAATATATTCCAGCATTTTTACCTGGTGTATATTGAAGGGGCATAAATCAGAAATTCTTTGTTTATTTACAGTGTATAGTGATTACAGAGAATAGGCTGATCTAAATTCATATTCATTGGAAATATATTAAAAATGCCCAAGATTCGCACCCTATGATAACTACATTTAATCACAGATAACCTTCACAACTAAGTTGGATGAACACTTGTTTTGTTTATTATGAAGAAATATAAGGTAAATTGGTGAAGGTACAAAATTCATATTGCAGCGGGCGATTCTTAAATGTCACGCAGGACTTATTTTGATATTGCAGGCCAGTCATTCTCCTCCAAAAGTGACTCTCTGATTGAGGTGAAATGTTTGTTTAACTTCTCAAATGGATGGCATGTTTTTCTTTCATGTTTGACTACTAGATATCAACGAATGCCTGTTTACCCATGTCTGTACTCACATCTGTAACAACACCGTCGGTGCTTATTTATGTTCTTGTCACCCGGGCTATTCTTTGCATGTTGATGGATTTACATGTATAGGTAAGCCTAATACAATACAAATTATTATGGAATGTGAGTGTTAGACCTTTCTTGATTCGTTAACAATAAAAATGCCATGTCGATATAAAGTGTCTATTTTGTAGAGTACCTTGAAACATTGTAGATACATTAAATGCTATATTAATCTAGGATATTACTGTTTTTAATATTAACTATAATTGGTTTCATTGTTATTATTATAATTATTATTATTACTATTATCATTATTCTTATTTTATCACCTGACGAAGTGTTGCAGCCGCGCACGAAACGTCGTGATCTTTAGATCCCTTGTTGACCATACATTGCGAGACAATCGATTGTCATTAGCGATATTATTTTCGATATTATTCATATTATTTGTATAGTAACGTATGATCATCATTGAGAGTTCACTTTTTCACTATGACCGTTTTCAATTAGATTTCTTCAGATAGTGAATTCAAAATTAAAATTTACATACAAATGCAGCAAAATGTTTATAAACAATGTGTACGAGTGTATTGCACTAAATGGCACGTAAGTTGGCAAAAGATTTATCATATATTGTTTTACTGTTACATCATAGAAAGCGAATTGAAACTTATAAATTGAAAGCAAGTGCAACAAATTATAAACAAACTATACATATAAGCGCATTGCGCTAAAATGGGGGCGTTTCTTGGCAACGGAATTATCATATTGCGTATTACTTATAAATATATGAAGAGCTTGGTTCCAAAATTGAGTTTTTTTGTCCTAAGATAATGAGTTCCTACATGGGGACAAAATGCACTACCCAGTATATCACATTTTAGAATTTCACCAGGAAGTTTAAAAAAATTAGGTACAATTTAATGTTTCATTCCAAAACGAGCTAAATCCATATCGGTTTCATTCCAAAAGGAGCTAAATACACTTCTGAATAAATCAACTTGTTCATTTCTCCTCTTTCCCTTTAGCCATGTACTTTCATGTTGTTATTTATGTAAAGGTGTTGCCCTGGACCAATAATATATGATAAGAAAAAAAATCTACCAATTATTTTTGATTATTTTTAGATTGTGTGGATTTAGCTACTTTTGGGATTAAAGGAATTTAGCTCCTTATGAAATGAAACTGTGATATGTTGTGTACTTTCTTTTCAAAAGGTTTTTTTAGTGGTGATTTCACTATTATTATTTAAAAGGAAAGGTTTGCTACTAAATTTGAATACATTTCAGTGACGTTATTGAGAAAATTTGTTAGTATTTCTTTTAGATTTTCAATTGTAAACTCAAATCATATGTATGTGTGTGTTTTATATATACCGGTATATAACCCTAAATGGTACATTAACTGGACGTCATAAAAACTGGAATATTAACCCTAAACCTAACCCCTTAAACTAATGACTAATGAAAAAACCTTTTGTTTCTTGGGAGGTCTCTAAGTTTCCTCTGCCTGCAAACGTACGTAAAGGGCAGTACTTCTCTTTTTCAATCGTTTACAGGACACAAAAACGTCCTGCTAATGACCATGTCAACTAAATGACTCATTTTTTTCGCTACATATGTCCGTCTAATGACGCTGTAAGCTAAATATAAATATATTTAAATATTAGGAAATAAGGTGTATAACTTTAATAACTTGCGTGGAAATAAATTCAAAGCCAACATTATTCTTCATTTCCTTTTGCATTATATCTCTAGATATAGATGAATGTGCATCGTCACCATGTAATGAAAATGGAACCTGGACTTGTTATAACCTGGAGAACGCCTATGATTGTCTCTGTCATGTAGGATGGCGCGGCATGAATTGTGAACTTGGTAACTTATGTCAAGATTGAGTTACAGTTATATAAAATGTTCTTAAAGGTACATGTCCCATTTGCAGGGCCAAAAAATGAAAAGGTTAAATTTCAACGGTATTTGAAAGATAATACTTATTTACTAATCGACTTAAGAGCTATAGAGCAAGTAAGTAAAAGTCTGATTTTCAGACCATTGTACCGAATGGTCGCACGTTTTATGCTACGCAATATTCAATCAATTTAATTTTGGCCATCACAAGAAGTGGGTTTATATTGATGTAGACAAATGCTCATGTACCCTTTACAGCTCATTTTATTACCAAAGAAGAAAAAAAAACAGTCAGTCACTCAAAGTGAAGTCTAGCAAGTAAACGGGTTTCCTTGCATAATTTGAATACTAGGACACTGCTATCGTTTAAATGTCACAAATAGGACATTCATGATATATTCATATTTCCTGCAAAGTTCTACAGAATTTGATGTTGGCTGCAAAAAGGACATAGTATCTTTAAAGGGCTGGATTCACAGTTAACAGCGCCCTCAACGTCAATGTTTAAGCTGGCGGGTTGACATCGTTCAACCAGTGCGTCGCAAAAAAGACGCTAGCCTGATATTGAAATTATCAAAGTGGTCCAAACTGGGCAAGTCCTTTATATGGGATTAATTTTTTCGAAATCAGTACACATTTTTATATATTTTTTTGTTCGTTTTACATCAGTTTTCTGACTGAAAATTTGGTTGGAATTTGGACATAAATCAATGTAAAATGTTATTTTTTGCAAACATAACCCTAAATGACAATGTTGTTGTTTCTAGCATCAGGGCACATGTTTACATAGAATAGGCCCATCAAATCTCTGTTGCTAATAATAATGATAGGAAAAAATTACCCCTGATCAAGATTGACGATAGATGATAATTTTGGCCAAAAAGTAGCCAAAACTCTGCCCCCCCCCTTTTTGGATACGCCATTTAAGTCACACATTGCTATAGGCAAACAAAGAAAAGGGAAGATCAAGGAGAACGGGGGGGGGGGGGGGGGGGGGGGGTTAGACCCCCTTTACTATTTCTTGTTAGATTTGATAGAAATTGGACCCTCCCCCGTGTTCGAAATTCATAAAACCGCTCTTCGTATAATATGCTTCCCTTTTGTTCTTTTTGTTGATCTTGTCATTACTGTTGTTATGATAATTTCCCGTTGTTGATATTGTTGATGTTGCTGTTATTGTTGCTGCTGTTGTACTGTTGATGCTGCTGCTGTCGTGTTTTGCTACTACCGTTTCTCTGGTGATTTATGTTGTTGTTAAATGTAATGCTTCCTGGGTGTAACCCACAAATATGTTTAAATAATTGAAATTGTTGTTGTTGTTGTTGTTGCTGTTATTGTTGATGCTGTTTCTCTGGTTAGTTCTGTTGTTGTTGCTGCTGTTGCTATTATTTTCTAATCATCAATTAATCGTTTTTACAGATGTAGACGAGTGTCAAGAAGGATCTCCATGCAACCAATCTTGCACCAACTCACCGGGTAGCTTTGTGTGTTCCTGTAACCCAGGATATTATCTTGACGTAGATGGAGTTTCGTGCCCTGGTAAGATCTTAGCATCATGTTTGTTAGTTGTACAGCAATTTGGTCCTGTGTTTCTTTGGCCCAGTGAACATGGTGTAACATAGTTAACCAGTATATTGTGTCTTCCAATTACTTTCTATCTCTTCGTTTTTCTTAATCCTAATTCTCTCTTCTTAATCTATGTTATGTTTTTCTTTAGTTTTCTTTGTTTTGCCTTAGTTTCCTTCTTTCTCTTCCACTTTCTCTCTCTCTCTCTCTCGTCTGATGTATCATGATTTTACGATCCTGAAAGTTTTTGTGCCAAGACATATGTTTATCATTCTTATACAACCAAATTGTAAATTGCAGTGTCACTACATGGTATCAGCAACATCATGTTGTAGTTCAGTAATTATATTTACTAAATTCAATTGCTTTTCGGCTTAAGCAATAACCTTAAACAAGGTAACCCACCCATTTGTTGTTTTGGGGACAAAATTTAAAGGTAACGTCCAAGAGGGATTGGGGATGTGCCCAGTCGTTGGCTATCTCGGCGTTGTTTCACAAAACTGCTACAAACGTGTGTTTATTTTGTTACGCGTGTTCTAAAGAAATATCAGCCTGCAGATGACAGTTTTCTGAAATGATGCTCTTGTAGAAATCAGTGCAAATAAATGAAAGTCCTCAAAACAAGTTCTCCAATTCAAGTTTGATATTGTTATCATACATGATGTTGGTATCATTAAAGGGCTTCATTATTCCCCTTTACAAAGGTGTCACATTTTAATCAAATGGAGAATTCACTGTTGACAATAACACTGCATTTGGCAACGTTTTTTTTTTTTTTTTTTTTACTTAATCCTATACATAATGGTTATAAACTGGCTTTTCAATGAAAGCAATGTCAATATAAATAGCAGCAAGAGAGATATCAACGCTCAATCTTGGATTGCATAACTTGATTTTTGAACAGTTTATATGTCCTTTATTGAATTACTTCACAGATGTTGATGAATGTTCTTCAAACCAATGCCTAAACGATGCAGAGTGTAATAACCTCCTGAACGCCTTCTCTTGTGATTGCCCTCCAGGATGGGAGGGCTTCACCTGTGAAATCGGTATTGTTTGTTTGTTTTGATCATGTGTGTGTTTGTGTTTTAATTTATTCTGTAATTCTGTAATTAGGAACATGCAATGAAGAATACATAAATAAGAGTAATTTGATGTACACATACGCCCGATATTTATACAAACACATATACAACTTTTTGTTCTTATATCTACTCGATACCAAGAGATATCACTCTTTAGTTTGTGAGTCAAATAGTCTGCCAGTGTTTTATTCTGCATCACAATTTATACATACACACTCAGTCAGGATATAAACAAGTAACATAATATCACTTACCGTATAGGGCATATTGAATCTGGCTGTGAAATGTGGTTAATCCATTGGAGTAGATACTGGATGGAAAATAAAGAAATAAATAAAGTAAAACAATTAATAAATACCTCAAGTAATTTAGTTGAAATCCCATTTCTCAAATAGATATTGACGAATGTTATTCCGGCCCGTGTTTAAATGAAGGAACATGCGTCGATCGACTGAACTCGTTCACCTGTAATTGCACTGAGGGATGGTTTGGCACATATTGTCAGAGCGGTAAGTTTTGCAGACTTGAACAACAGTTTGGCGTAAGCCACGTCTAGAACAATAATTTCATTATCCCCTTGCCGACGAAGTCGGACAGGATATACACTGTCGCTCATAAAGGTGGATTTTTTTTTTTTTTACCCCAATTTATGGAATTATTTTAAAAATAATTAAAAAATAATAGATCTAGATAATAGTATACATTCTCAGATTTTATTGAATACTAATTTGCCAATGTGTGTTTTGCGTGACTGCTGAAGCATGTGTGTGCTACAATGCTTATCAACTAGGGACCTACGCTCTTAATTCATAAATGACAGTAATGAGGATTAATGCCCAACAAAAGGGCACTAATATAGCACATCGACACGGTTTTGATCCTGGGGCCTCACAGTTACGAGGCCATTGCTTTGTCACTGAACCATGACTGTACGCAGCAGGGAGGGGCTAGGGTAGGGGGCAGTTTCCATGAATATAAAAGAACACAGAAAATGCATTAAATTTTCAATAATTTATTGCATTTTACCCCGGTTCCCAACATAAACAAATCTTCTGTGTGCTTCAGCAGTCACGCAAAACACACATTGGCAAATTATTATTCAATAAAATCTGAGAATGTATATTATCTAGATCTATTATTTTAAAAATAATTCCGTAAATTGGGGTAAAAAAAAAAAATTCCACCTTTATGAGCGACAGTGTAGTAACGCTGCCGTCCGTCCTTCCGTGCTTCCGTCCGTTTGTAACAAATTTGGTTTCCGATCGATAACTTCAGTAATGTTTAATGGATTTTAATGAAGTTTGATATGAAGGCACATGGTATCAAAACACAGCCTAAGTTCAATTTCGGAGTATGTAGGTCAAAGGTTATAGCTCATTAAATATGCAAATCTGGTTTCCATTTGAAAACTCAAGTAATGTTTGACGAATTTGAATGAAATTTGATATGAAGGTTCATGGTATCAAAACACAGCCTAAGTTTGATTTCGGAGTATGTAGGTCAAAGGTCATAGCTCATTAAATATGCGAATCTGGTTTCCGATCCATAACTTTAGTATTGTTTGACAGATTTTAATGAAATTTGATATGAAGGCACATGGTATCAAAACACAGCCTAGGTTCAATTTCCTAGTATGTAGGTCAAAGGTCATAGCTCATTAAATATGCGAATCTGGTTTCCGATCCATAACTTTAGTATTGTTTGACAGATTTTAATGAAATTTGATATGAAGGTTCATGGTATCAAAACACAACCTAAGGTAACCTATTGCAAACTGGAATTGGAATCAGAATATGGATATTTGGGAGTCATTTGTACAAGTGTTATCTCAGAAGTGACTTATTATGTCCAAGGGACTTGGTAATCAAGGATTATTGCTCTGTCAAACGGCAATAGCGCATTCACTTGGCTTCGAACCAAGGACCTTCTTGTTTAGAGTCAATTAGAGATCACTGCTCTACCACTGAACCAATGTGTTTTTCTCAATAGGCTACTGTGCGTTGAATCCTTGTCTCAATGGAGGTACATGCATACCAGCTGAACGACAGTGTGCTTGCTCGTCGCTCTACGCGGGAACAACATGCAACATTGACCAAACACAAGATGGTATGAGCTTCATGTGTTCTAAACTAAATAATGCTTGTTTGCCAAATACAAATGATATCAGATTTCAATGATCTCTTTTCTGTAATTGAAATATCTGCAGGATATGTTGGGGGCAATTGTGGGTCCATTTGTATCAACTACAGTCAAACTGGACCAACAACTGGACCCTTCAAAGGCCAGCGGACCTGATGAACTTCCACCCAAGCTCCTAAAGTTGGTAGCTCACGAGATTGCTTCTCCACTGTCCTTCCTGTTTCAACAAAGCTACAACAGTGGCATCGTTCCAGCCCAATGGAAACAAGCACTGGTTACCCCTATTCACAAGTCGGGAGAAAAGTGTGACCCCTCCAACTACAGACCGATCTCACTTACCTGCGTTTGCTGCAAAGTCATGGAACACATCATCCTGAGCCATGTGTCGAAGCATGTTGCAGTGAATAATATCCTCACTGATGCACAGCATGGCTTCCGACGAGGGTTGTCAACAACCACTCAATTGACAACAGCCGTCCACGACTGGTCCTCCATCCTACAGCAGCGTAGCCAAGCTGATATAATCTTCTTGGACTTCAAGAAGGCATTTGATCGAGTACCACACCTTCTCCTGTCAACCAAACTTCAGTACTATGGAATAAGTGGTGACTCACTCCAGTGGATAATGTCTCTCCTCACTGATAGACAGCAGGCAGTCGTAGTTGATGGATCCAAATCAACATGGAGGGATGTAACATCTGGAGTCCCCCAGGGATCCGTCATCGGCCCTACCCTCTTCCTGTTGTATATCAACGATATCCAAGACAACATCCAGTCCACAATGCGTCTCTTCGCAGATGACAGCACCCTCTATCGTGAGATTCGATGCCCTGAGGACCATCAAATCCTAAAGGACGATCTCCAACAGCTGTCCAGGTGGTCCTCAAACTGGATGATGGACTTCAACGTGAAAAAGTGCGCTATCCTCACCATCACACGGAAGCGTACTCCCAGCATCCGAGAATACCACCTGTCAAATGGACTGATTCCGAGAGTGAAAGAGTACAAGTACCTTGGAGTAACGGTTGCTGCTGATCTCCGTTGGAACAAGCACTGCCAAACCATCCGGCATAAAGCAAGCCGTACTCTAGGTCTTCTTCGCAGGACTCTCTCACCCTGTACCAGGGATGTAAAGTCCAGGGCCTACACAGCCTTAGTGCGCCCCCAATTGGAGTATGCCTCGGAGGCTTGGAACCCACACAGCGTCACGGTCACAAAAATGCTAGAGCAAGTACAAAGAACAGCGGCTCGCTTTGTGTACCGTGACTACAGATACACCACATCACCATCAGCTCTTGTGGCAGCTCTAGGGTGGGACACGCTTCACACACGTCGAATCCTCGACCAATGCACCCTTCTCTACAAGATCCATCACCGACTTGTCTCCATACCTGCACCAACTATTGTTATCCCCGCTACATACTTCGGAAGACATGACCACAACCTGAAGTATGTAATTCCTGTTGCAACTATCGACTCCTTCAAGTTCTCATACTACCCAAGAGCAATAAGGATCTGGAACCATTTGCCAGGCTCTGCAGTCAATGCAACAGGAATAACCAACTTCAAGGAGGCTGCTCTACCCTCCATCAGAACGATGCAGCCCCCCGTTGGTTCTCACATCATATAAGCTTACTAGCTTGGTTTTTACTTGCACTGGACTTAGCATATTTTACTGTAAATTGACAAGTGCTTTGTCCACACACCATTCCAGCAATTCATGACACTCCTTGTAGTCACTTGCCTCACCTACCATCCCAGTATAGCTTCCTGAGTGAGCTGCCAAAGGGATTACCCAACCAAGTACCAAGTAAACCCGCTTTTAATAGTGACCACCTGTCTACAAGAACACATTTTTTCCCCCTTGAAAACGGTTTCTCATTGAAACATGTACTAAATGAACCTGTCTACACACACCACATGTCTACAAAGACCACTCTTTTTGTTTCCCTCGGGCGGTCACTATAGACAGGTTTGACTGTATATCAGAAAAGGTTTTTAAGTCAAAACCACCACTTACATAGAATAATTGTTGTTATGACTATGTGTCATGCCTCAGCCATGGATCAAATTTGTCTCTGGTTTTAGCACTCTAAAAATCAATATTTAAGGAGGTGAGAAATGGCAACATTTTCTATTAGTTACATCTCATTATTCTTGTTCCAATATCTAATGTTAAAATTTGTTTCCTTTGAGTATGAGAGCAAAACAAATGGTTTATTCATTATTTTGAAAGTGTCATAATTTTACAATGATAAAAATGCATACAAAAGGTAATCAGCATTCACAAAATAACAAATAGTTATCAATTAGTTTGTTATAAACTTTTATGCGATTGATTCAATATTCTACTAGACAATTTTTGGAAAAATATAATAATCTTAAAGCAATAATCTATATGTCATTTTTTAGATCTGTAATAGGAATTGGAATTGTGTTTGAGCTTACACACGTGATTGCAAGCAACATACTTATCACAAATTTGTTGAGATAATGCTTAAAAATTTAGATTATTAATTTGAGAACATGTGAATGTGGTTACAGCTAAATAGCGCCCCAAAAAACATTTGAATTAATTTCTAGTAAGAACAACACAGTCCTTATGATTTGTGTTCATTGGAACAAATCACTTAAAGATACTATGTCCCTTTTGCAGCCAACATCAAATTCTGTAGAACTTTGCAGGAATTATCAATATATCATGTATGTCCTATCTGTGAAATTTAAACGTTAGCAGTGTCCTAATATTCAAATTATGCAAGGAAACCTGTTTACTTGCTAGACTTCACTGTGAGACACCATTGAGTGACTGACGGGCTTTTTTCTTCTTAGGTAATAACATCCATAAAATGAGCTGTAAAGGGTACATGAGCATTTGTCTACATTAATAACCCACTTATTGTAATGGCCAATATTAAACTGCTTGAATCTTTGTGCAGCATAAAACGTACGACCATTCGGTACAATGGTCTGAAAATCAGACTATTACTTGTTGGCTCTTTAGGTCTTAAGTCGGTTCGACAACTAATGGCTCTATAGCTCCTAAGTCGATTCAACAACTAATAGTCATTATTTTCCCACTGAAAGACATTGTCAAGCCTCCCCCTTTTTTAGGGAAAGTTTAAATTAATATTATCTTTCAAATGCCGTTGGAATTTAACCTTTTCGTTTTTTTGGCCTGCAATTCGGACAAAGTACCTTAAGTCATTGTTAGATTTGTATAAAGAAAAATGTCATGATTAATGGTAATGAAATTTCTTTCTTCATCCGTACTAGGTGTGTCGACCGTTACCACTCACCCTAGAAATAAAACTGTAGGTATATCAGAGATGGTAGTATTGAACTGTGAATTCCAAAATGTTCAGCACTTTGACTGGTGGAGAGATGGGAGAAAGGTGCCTGACACCCGTGATATATCCAACTATGTCATCGATGAGATGAGCCCCCCTGATCAGGCGTACTATAGCTGTGTTGGTATCCCAGAAAACGGACCTCATATTGAAAGCAAGCAAGCACTGCTAAGAATCAGAGGTTATTATTTCATTTATTTCATTTTTTTTGGGGGGGGGGGGGAAGAGGGTATTGTTTGATACAAAAACAGTTACATCCAAAATTTTACTTTAAGACAACGACCCGAGACAATTACATCTTTATCTTCGAATTCACCAAATACTATCGCCCTAATAATAAAAGATGATTACCTGGGACTATCTATTGGGAATATGTCATTGTAGTCCAGGGTATTGCGTATCCAACCCAGAGGATACTTGATGTACCTACAAAGTAGTATTATACAAACAATGCACGGCCCAGCGTGCTTTAGTGTAAATGTATTGCAAGCGAGGTTTCTTTAGATTGGTGCCGCTTCTCTGCACGAGCCGAGTTCACAGTGTGCACCATCTGAAGATACAGAGCGTGCACTGCATTTACATTATGCACAACAGGGTTAAGTGCGTTATTTGTTTCATAAAATAGCGACATAGGCATGACAATCAAAACAACAAAAGTCTAGATTAACGTAAGAGTCTAGGCCTACGAGAGTTATGTAATAGTTCTAGAAAAATAAAAAGATAGTTAGACCTTGCTACTTATCCAAAAGTCCATGGGATTCCACATTTTGCAAGCTGGAATTCCTTCATTAAATCCATCCTATTATACTAGGCCTATTAAGTCGAAGGCAAAAATAAACAAAAATAAATTTAAATTTGAGTTTGAACGCATTTATTACAGTGGAGTTTGATGCAAAAATTTACAAATGTCAACGTTGCATCCATGTAAATGTTTGTGGATGCTTTGCTGTTGATTCCGATAATGGCTTTAGTTGAGGCTGCGAAGATGGACCAGGAACATCGCTGTATAAAGGCTTAATGCCACAGTTTCTTGAACTATATAGTGCCATACCTGCCAACATTTTAAAATAGGAATTATGACTTTTTAGCTCGGTATGCCTTCGAAAATAAGAAATCGCAGCAGCGGCAGTGTAACTGGCAATATGCCGTAAATCTGTACCAAAAGTGAATAAAAATTGGCTGCCGATCATGCAGCCATTCAATGCACACAATATGTGAACTATCAAATCGCGGCACATGATAAAACAAGCTTAAGTTGGCTTAAGCAACACCAAAAACAAAAACACAAATCAAAACAACCCCCCCCCCCCCCTAAAAAAGAAAAGAAAATCAGGTCCTAGAAATCCTGAAAATCAGAATAATCCATATTATTTGTGAGGGTTGGCATGTATGTAGTGCTGGTCTCTGTGAATGTCACAGACCTGGGACCTGTTTCACAAAGCCTTCTCTCAATGACAAAAATCAGTGACGAATCTGCTGATAACCAATCAGAAGCAGGGATTTCAGTAGCTTATAACAAAAACTGCCATTTGTCACTGATGACAAGTTTTGTGAAATGCCCCCCTGGCCTCGCGTTCAGAACTGGAGCAACTCGCAATTTCAGCTACAACTCCGCAAACATTTCCATGGATGCAACTCTTTAAAATTTATGCAAGATATGTTTCTCCCGCCATACGCTGGAATGGAGCGTACAAAGTTACTTTTCGTTGGGCATTTTTTTGCACTCCTGTACGAACTGCAAAAAAACGTTGCGTGTCATGTGACGTGTTTCGAACAATCAATTGTGCTTAAAATACTAGAGCAATTTTGTAATGTTATGCAAGGAATAAATTCCTACCAGATACCCATTGACTACACTTTGGTGAAGAGTGGCAAATGTAGATTAACGGACATAAGTGCCGCAGAGGGACTAGAACCGCGCACCAAGTGATCCACAGTCCGGCGACGTATCCACTGGACATTACCACGTCTATATAACCTCATTTACATATCAAACAACACATTTCTACAGAAAGTAAGCAACGTTGGATCACAGCAATATTCCATCTGCATGTTGCAACACTACTTTTTTTTGGGGGGGGGGGGGAGATATTGAATGTAGCCTAATAGGAATGTAAATTTATTTCACACAATATGATTCAGGTGAACTTGGTGCAACAACTTTTGTGAAACATCAGATTACATTAACAGTATGTACATGTTTGTTTTTCTTTAATACAGATATATCTATTTTTCATCTGAAGTTCAGGATTGTAAGAAATTTCACGTCATTTTACGCTGATCAAGAATCTTCAGATTACAAGACCCTTGTGCTTGCTATTAAAGTAAAGGTAAAAGGATTGTAATTTTTAAGTCGTTTGCAATATCTTTGATTTAGAATGATATACATTCTCTTTCACGGTTCCCAGTTTTTCTGAGCTAGGGTAAATCCTTGGTTATTTTTGCAGTAACAAAAAAGTCAGAAAACAATAATCTTTACCTGTTTCTTTCATTGGTTTATTGTTTCATTCATTCAATTGTCTAATATGAATTTGATGTGGAAATTTGCGTAGCTTACTGAGATATGAATCTCATGCATTTTATAAATGGAATTACCAAATAATCAGTGATACATCTTGTTGTTTTCTAACTTTTGAATTCTGATATCACTGCAATTAATAACCATTGTATAATGATATCATGTGTATTTTATAACCATTAGGCAAAAAAAATGAAACAAATAACATTTATAAAAAATATCGCTAGTAATATTCATTTGTCTCGCAATGTGGTAAATAAGGGATCTAAAAGATCACGACTTTTCGTGCGCTGCTGCAACACTTCGTCAGGTGATAAAAATTAATGTAAGCAAGCATGTTTTATACTCTACAGGATGACCGGCGCAGCAGTCAATAATTTGATTGATAAATGGAACAATAACGCACAAGGCTCATTGGCCGACGCAGACAGTGCTCGACCAATCAACAGAAGTTGATTCGGCTGGTTCGGCTCGCCTGCTGGGCGGAAGCAGTAACGAGCAGTAACGAGCTGCGCCAGTCCTCCCGTAGAGTATAAAACACACATGCTTACATAAAATTTACCATCTTATGTAAAAATACTCGACTAGATTAAACATCCACGATAATGTGGGCATCATTTTATATCTAGTTCGAGGCGGTGTTTGAGGCGCTTGTCACAGAGAGTGACACCAACGGCACTATTTACGTTCACGTGAATCAACTTCTACCAGATGATGGTGTGTTGATTGATATGAGAGCCTACATAGCCAACAGTAGCATGACTACACAAGATGAAATGGACCTGCTGTGGAGTGGATTATTTCACGTGGAGGAAGTTTCTAATGGTTACGTTGACTCTTCCCTCCTTCTGGTACTCAGTACAGGTGAATCTTGCTCAATTGAAATCATATTAACCTACAGGAGTTCAGTATTTTTCATATTTCTTAATTTTGTGTATTAATCAGCTTTTGGCAAGAATGAATCTTGTTTTCCACTCCTTCTTAATAGTTTAAAGAATTCTTTTTCTTAGTTCAACTTATATGAAAAACAATTGCAAAATTTAACCAAAAAAATGCCAATTTTTACATAAAAATAGTGACTTTATATCTCAAACTGGTTACCAATTTATCAACTATAATGATTAGTTACAATCGATTCACTATTATTGTAGCACTGCACAATGTACTGCATTGGAAGTGGACTAAAATTGGTGCAACTGGTGTCCTGCTATGGGTTGATGCCAAGTAAATACTAAATGATCTAACTGCAATCCGATATAAGAAACACATGCTATCGCTTTTGATATGAATATTGGAATGTGTTCTTAGTGATCGCCACTCTGAATAATCATATGAATTAAAGAAAAATAGGAATTTGGGGGAAAGCCCAGTTTGCAGCAATGTCGGACCAGGGGACCCGTTTCTCAAAGCCTTTTTTTAATGACAATTGACAAAAATTAGTGACAAATCTGCTGATAACCTATCAGAAGCAAGGATTTCACTAGCTTGTGAAAAAACTGTCATTTGTCACTGATGATATGTTTTGTTAAATGGGGCCCAGGAGTTTTCTGTGATCTGAAGCCGAACATGCTTTTCAGTCGACTACAAAGCAAAAAGACACTAAAATGTCAGTGATAAGTATTTATTATTGAAAATACAGGTCAGAAAGATGATGTATGTTTAACTCTCCATATCTAAGGTAATTGCGTTTTCTTAAAAAAAATCTGATGGCCGTAGGATCGTCTGGTGTGCAACGAACTTAACACTATTGCACAGACTTTCAAAAAGGAAACCAAGAGCAATATTAATACCGTATTGCATCACTTCTTAAAATGTTCAAGAACTGCAATGACAGATTATGAAATTTAAATTCTCTCTCTCTCTCTTAGTTCTATGTCCAAACACCTCTTGGCCATCTTCGTATGGTATTGTCCAGTTTTCGTCAGGAGACCTTCATTCGTGGAGTAAATCGAGTGGAGAATGTCCATGGTTCACCGTCAATGGTACAATGATACAAATATTTCTGATATTCTAATTATAGGAATATTTTTTTTCTTTAAACTTAAGATAGTTGAGCTTACATGAGAAAGCAAACCCATGAATGTCAAGATTATTACCAACTGGAAAGTTCTTTGATAAAACAAGAACATCATAATACAACAGCAGTAGTATATAGTAATACTAATAATGATAGCATTAGTATTAATAATAGTGATAAGAAGATGAAGAGGAAGATAAAGAAGAAGAAAATAATCACAATATTTTTTACCCAAGAAACCGCATCAGTATTATGCTGTTCTTCATGGGGGCCCTACATTCATTATTATCCCAGCAACTGCCAGGCACCCATTTACACCTGGGTGGTGGAGGGTTGTAATTGTGGATTTATATCTTGCAAAAGGACATTAGTGTCAGACTTGGATTCGAACCCTCAACCCTGAAATTGAGAGTCAAAAGAATGAACCACTATACCCCCAACATCTACACACAGTATACCGTGGTAATATAAGACCTATAATGTATTTATTCGGAACTTGTTTTTTGTCTAAAGATGGAGAGCCAATAGCACGAGCCGTCTGCTCCGGTGATTATATCTCTCCTTGTGCATGGGTACCTTCAGATAACTGCGGTGGCAATAAAACGGCTGATCAACTCTTAATCTACTTACGAGAGGTAAACTTGATCTTCTTCTAGTCTGTTATAGAGTTCCTGGTATTGTGCAAAGTAAATACATGATCAGCTGGCCCTGTGCATCTAAGGTGCACATAAATCTTACTGCGGAATGTTCTTAACCCTTAAATGCTTGAAAATCATATTTATCCACACAATAAATAAACTTAAGATTGAAAGTTAAATAAAAGATAAATTGGACTAATCGATTCTAGAAGAAAAAACATCTAGCTTTAATCTCTTACTTTTTGGTATTAATATCATTATTTGGAAATTAATAGTGATAATAGTAGTATTGCATGTGTTAATCATTATTATTAGGTGATCTGCAGCATGGCAGAGTACCTATTGATTTTGTCGTAATCTTATCTTTTTTCTTTTCTTCTTTCTTTAGGGATTTTTTTTCTTCATATCTCATGAATGACACGGTTAATGACAATGAATTTTTCTTGACATTTACCAAATGCAAGATTTTTTAACCGAACAGAAAATTTTATTATTACTGATGCATGACGTCATCTAGGCGCCATTTTGATAATTTTCTAGTATTGACCATATTTCATTCATACATTGTCATTTCTGAATGTTATTTGATATGCATAAACATGTACATGTACTTGACGTCATGGATTTACTTTTGGTCACACCCATGTCCCTATGCACGTCATGGGGGATGCGCGCGTCAAAATATAAAATTGGTCCAATCGCTTATTTGACCAATTTAATACACGTTTAAGATCTTTTTGAACAATTCAAAAATTTGTGCGCATGTTTTCGATTGTGCCGTTCGTACTGAATGTTCTAGTTCAATTTTTATTTCACTTGAACTGTGTTGCTGATAGCAATTTCAAATCATCACTTTTAGCTATGATTGACCTAGATTTAGCTCATAGACATTTGTTAAACCTCAAAATTGATGCATACGCACAAATGCAAAAATTGTCAAAAGATGAGTTTATTGTTTCTATATTCTCTCTCTCTCTCTCTCGATCTGTTGATCTCACTACCATATAACTTTCTTCCTCTTCTCTTTGCTTTTGCCTACATATAAACATATCTGATACATTTACTTGGTTTTATAGTAAATCTAAACATGCAGTCTAGCCTTTTGGTCTCATGGTCATCAGATTTGGTGAATGCCTCTTGTTTGTTACTAATCAAGATCTCCATCGATGGATTATCTCTTTTACAATTCTCCTCCCCATTCTTTTGGTGCTCTGTACGATCCGACATATTTGTATGATTAATAAAAATAGACATGTTATTTGTTGTTTGTTCGCCTCCATTCTCTGTTTGAATTAGTTTGTGCTGTATTATAGTGTTAATTCATATTTAAATTTCCTTCACATAAAATATAGGCTGATTTTTAAAAGTTATATCAAATTAAACTTGATTAAAGAAAATATCTTAATTACTCTAGAATAAAAGTTGGTAACCCGTCATTTAAAACTTTGTGTTTTGTTGATAGAATCCGACGACTGCTGAAAGAAACACCCAGGACATCCTGTCAGTGTTGACTGTGATCTCCCAAGACCCGAATATTACTTCTGCCGTTGTCAATGCTGCATTTGACATCCTTCACCAGAGAGGGTCGATTCCTCAACCAATGCAAGAGGTGATTTTATTGACTTTTGATTGAACAATAAGCATTCATTGATTTGATGAAAGATCACCCAATTGAAAAAAAAATGCATTTCATTATATGTATCTCTCTCTTGGGATGCCATAAAATAGCATATTGTTGTAATAATAATAATAATGATAATATATTTATATACAGTTAAGCGCTTAAAGATATTTTGTCCCTTTTGCAGCAACATCAAATTATGTAGAACATTGCAGGAATTATGAATATATGTCATGAATTTCCTATGTGTGAAATTTAAACATTAGCAGTGTCCTAGTTTTCATATTATGCAATGAAACCCTTTTACCTTCTAGATTTCACTGTCAGACATTAGTGAGTAACTGACTGACATCTTTTTTTCTTTGGTAATAACATAGAATTAGCTGTAACAGGTACATGAGCATTTTTCTACATCAATAACCTACTTGTATTGGCCAAAATTAAACTGATTGAATGTTTGTGCAGCACAAAACGTACAACCATTCGGTAAAAGGGTCTGTAAATCTATCTAGACTATATTACTCAGGTGATTGCAATCACTTAAGTGTTGTTATTCATTTTCCCACCGAAAGCCATTTTCAAGCCCTTTAGTTTTGAGGGAAGTTCTAAATTAGTATTGTCTTTCAAATGCCGTTGGAATTTAACCTTTTCATTTTTTGGGGCCTACAAATGGGACATAGGCCTATATACCTTTCATACATCCACAATGTTTATAAGTCCACTGACCTTGTGTATCATTACCTGACATTTCTAGTGCACTTTTAGGTCCTAAAACTGATGTATGACCAGAGTCATGAAATACAATACAGGTAGCGTCCTATTTCCATATCCAATATTAAAACAGCTCAATAAATTATTTCTTTTTTGTAGGAGAAGTTTTTATTTTTCTCCTCTTCGTGTTTAGCGATCGCTGGGCACTTTTACGATTGCCCGGTTTTGGCAATGTCGGCATTTGAGATCGTTGGCACATCTTGAAGCGTGGTGTCCGGATTCCAACCATCTGGAACAGGTTGCCATGGTGTCTGCAGTGGGATGGCCATTGCGGTATACTTGCGCTTAAAATGATTTTCCTTGGGATGGCTTGTTCAGGGGGTCAATACATAACACCCTATCCCGTTGAGACACAAATTAAGTTAGTTGGTCGTTTATACAAAGTACCAGCCTGAGAACTGGTCCCATGACTTTGTGTTTCATTGCCTGAAGCTCGAGGCGGATCAGATCATCATCCACGGAAAGGGGTCGGGATCATTCACCAGGGTTGATGCTTTCAATTCCAGTCCATCACTACTTCATTGAATTCTATCTTCCTGTGACGGCCACGGCAGATTTTGGCATTTTTTTCCCTCCGTATTCAAGTTCTGTAAGGTCTCGCCAAGTGTTCTCACGGTTTCCGTTAAGGGGCGTTGGAAGGAAAGGGAATGCTGTCCAAGAGGCTTCAAGGTACACTGCGGTACGGCCTGCGGTCTGCCACGGATACGAGTACGTTCCCTACTGGCCCGTTAAGTCCTGATGGGGTCCCTCACGTTTCTCACGTTCTGATCAAGTTCTGACACGTTTTTCACCTTCTGCTTAGGCTTTCTTAGGATGAAACGTGTATGCCGGGCAGCTTTGAAGCACATTTGTGCACACGGTATAAAAAATAGCTTCCCAAGAAATAGCAATCATTGTATCCTGACACCTGCCCATTGTGTCAGGCCGTAGTAGAATGCAACGCGCCTTAGCGTGCCGGGTCGGTAAACCGTCCCACTACGGACCGCCTCCAAGTTTTGTTACGGCCCATTACGTACTGTCACGTTTCGTTGTGTTCACCCCGTTTTACTACCGCCTACTAGGTTTCTCATTCGCTCCGTGACTGGCGTGGCAAATTTTTTGACAGTTTAAAAATCTGACCCGGCATCCACGGCAATAGCGGCCTGTCACGTTAGCCCATTCCGTCCCCCGCGTTGTCTCACGTCCATCCCGTTTTGTCGATGGTGGCCTGAAACGTGATTGTTGTGGCCCCTGGGAACATAGTGTAAACGTAGCAGAAGCAAATATCAAACACAATTTATTTTTACATCCAATAACAAAGTCAAAATGAAGAATATCTTTTGAACAATGGTGTTGGTGATATTATTACTATCATTATTATTTTCATTGTTGTTGTTATTAATATGATTAATGTAAGGGCTATTTTCATGAATATTATCATTAATATCATTATTATGATTATTATTATCCTCATCATTATTATTATTATCATTAGGGCCTATGATCACCATCATTATTGTCGTTGTTTTTTTTGTTTTTTGTTTATACTAGAATGTTGCATTTGTCGTCGACATCTTAAGCATCCTGGCCACGTTAGAAAAAGGCTTGATCATGGAGGCTCAGATGATGAATGGTGCTGTAAGCAGAGCCACCGAGGCCTTGGAGGAAATCCTTCTAGCCGTCAATTTGCCTTCCAGCCAGACCTTGCAGTACGTGGCATCAAACCTCGTGATACAGGTATGATGATAAACAAACAAATCTGGATTTGAATACACTACCGATGTGTGACTTCATACTGGCTCAATTGTCAAGGTTGCTGGTTCTAAACAGTTGTGTGCTAAACAGGGGTGCCCTGCCCCAGGCCATAGAATGATTTCGCAGCGAACCTCATGTGCAGGCTCTGTTGTTTAGAACCAGTAACCCAGAGGACAAGGGAATATGACTTGAAGTTAGTAATATGGTACTCTGTATTGTGCTTCATATAGAATTAGTTCGGGGATCGAATTTACGATTCTTGCATCTCCTATCAAGTTCTTAGACCACAACACCTCTATAGGTACCGGTTTGCTCAAACACTTCGCCACCATGTGGAAGTGTCGTGGTTTGGTGGTTTATCCACTACTCTCAGTCCAAGGGTTGAGGGTTCGACTCCCATGTCATATAACACAGATCTCAGTGAACATGCGGAAGTCCTTTGTTGTGCGCAGTCCCATCCATTTCCGCTGGGTTTTTTGGGCAGCGTGTTACTGCGCCATATCTGACCAGGCCTTTAATACATTCTTTAGGTACTCAACTCTGAGTCTGATGGTGTCCGTGATGGGATTGCCTTCTCCATCATCGGCGATGACAGCCAATCTTTTGATGAAAGTGACATCCAGCTATCCACCAACAATCGCGGCAACGGTAATGTAGGTGGTACTGTCCAAGCAGCTATCGTCATTGGACCAGATAGCATTGATGAAGGCACCATGGGGAATATAGCATTTACTGTTTACCGAGACGATGCATTGTTTGTAATGGACGGTGGCCAAGACAATCAAGTGGGAAGCAATGATGGGCGTCGTAATATCACGATCAATACTAATGTCATCGGAGCGAGCCTCGGTACGAGTGAAACCAAAACTCTGAATGCTCCGGTCACCATAACACTGGCACACAAACAGGTAAGATACAGTCTTTTCATAAGCTAGTTTGTAGATACGACCTGCTCAAAGGGCAGACTTCAAGTCATTTGTCCAAAATTATAAAACCCACCGAGGCGGATATTGAATTTGTATTCATCAATGTTTTGTAATTTTTAATTTTGTATGCACAATACATTTCATGATGCATAATTGAAAGTATTTTTTCAAGAGGGCTAAACAATGCCCCTCCGTGACTTTGGCAGTGATTATTTAAAAAAAACAAAAATTGGGGACATCACCATGAATAAAAAATGTTTTGATTAATTGATTTTTATTCATATTCCAGGCAAGATTAACAAAGTATAATGAATTTTGCATACATAATATTTCTTTAATGTTCAAGTAAAAAAAAAATCCTGAATCATATTTATTAACGACATGAAAGAATGTTCTGTAAATATTGAATACAGATATGAAAAGAGAACTCACTTAAAACCTGTCTTAATTTGTAGAGTCAAAGGAACTACAAGTCTTTTTCTCCCAAAACAATTTTATATACTTCCAGCAAAATGCAACAAGTCCACAGTGTGTGTATTGGGAATATTCCACTAATGCTTGGGAAAGCGATGGCTGTGATATGACAAACACTTCTGAGACACATACTGAATGCCAGTGCAATCATCTTACCAACTTTGCAGTCCTTATGGTAAGAACATAAAATAATAATTATGATGTTTTTATTTGTTTTAATACTTCTCGAAAAACATTTTTGTCAGAGTCTGCAGATAAATCCTTAAGACATTTAAAAACAACTATATACATCTATCTCCAATTTGGCTTATTCTATTTCCACATTTTGTTGCCTTCTGTTTCTCACCAGGACGTAAGTGGCAGCCCCAGACGATCAGAGAGAGTTGAACAAGTGTTTAGGATCCTCAGCTACATAGGATGTTCTTTCTCTATTGTAGGCCTCCTGGTGACCCTGGCTGTGTACATCACTGATAGGTAAGACTTCAAGAAAAAAATACAACATCAGCAGACTTTTACTCTTTAAAGGTAATACAAAGTCTCGGTGTGGGGTCCTGAGTTTAGTTCAAATGAACATATTGGAAGCATTATTATGCGATTTTACAATATTCAATGATCGTTGTCGCAGTGGAAATTGAGTCTAAAGTGTTGGTATTGTGAGTATTAAACTCTTTATGTTGTAAAGTTCCCTCTCAAGACTGATATTACTTTAGCTTTAAAACAATGATTTTGTTTTACTACAATCAACCGATTTGCTATTCCTGTTTGGAAATTGTATATAAGAACTGCATATTCTGAGATTTTCATGGTCGCTGCTACAATCGAATAACTCTTTTTTTTTGGTAAGATATATTACAAACTTCGCTATTCTGCTTCTCTAATTTTTCTACTTTCATACTAATGAACTTTATACATAGTTGTATTGCCTTTAAACTTCCACGTTCCTACCCTTCTTATATCAACACAAGCTCTCAACCCTTAGAGAGACTACAATGGTCTCCCTTCTTAAGTCAGTCTAGCGTTTAACCAAGCTTTTGTTTATCATGGAAGTAATCTCACTCTCTTTACAATCACTTAAACCCTTACCAATTTTTATTTAATTGAATACACAAGATGTATTATGCTTTCTTAGTTGTCATTGCATCTTGTGTAATGTTTTTGGTATTCCCTCTTAATGTTTATTTGAACATTTGTAAAGTTAAAAGCTATATAAATATCTAAACTAGCCTTTTACAGATGACAGATGCTTATTACAGGAGTAGTGTCTACAAACAGTGATGCTTCTGTTGTCAACTTTCACTAGCAATTACAATGTGCTTAGTAGGTCAACATAATCAACTCACCTACTCCGCTCTGAAGATTTTAAAATTCCTTCATACTAAGTATGTGTTTCTCTTTGCCCCAGGAAACTTCGTCACTTGCAGCACATCCGGATCTTAATGTGTCTCTGCATCACGCTCCTCTTCCTGTACGTCTTCTTCATCATCATGACAGCACTCGACCGATATCCGGAGAACCTGAGGTCGATCCAGGTCTGTGTGGGGTCATCGCCGCTGTCCTCCACTTCACCACGCTCTCATCGATGTCATGGATGGGCGTTGAAGGGATAAACATGTTCCTAATGGTTGTCCGTGTCATGGACTCGTATATCCCACTCTTCATGATGAAAGCCTCCATCATTGCATGGGGTAAATTGCTGTTATAACTTCTTTGACCAAAACTTTTGTGGCCTGTTGTCATTCAACTATGTTTTAGGGCCTCGCACCATACAAGTGCTTCTTTAGCATGCTCCTCTGTTTCAGTATTTGTATATCTATTTTGTTTATCATACAATTTTATATACCTCACTTAAGAAATCCAGCCATCTGATTGGTCGAATTGCATTCATAAACTTCAACTGTTCCTGTAAAATTCTCGGTAACCATGCATAAAACATTTCAATATTTTTAATAACCATGGTTATTAAAAAAAGTTGGTCAGCCTCCATGGTTACCCCATAGGTTTACATGTTAAAAAATGGTTTGAGCGATGGAGGATGCCGTATGTGTGCGAAGGATTGGTCGGTAATTTCAATACAATTGAATCTCGATCGATCTTACCGACAATTTTATCTTGCATTGTTGACATGAAGACGAAAATAAACTTCCAAAAACAAAAAAACAACATCTGCCGATAGATCTTGATCTAAGTTCGTGCCAATATGCATTGCAAAAGTAAAAGAAGAGTCCGTATATGGAGCTTTTGCGAAGCATTCATCACACGCGAAGCCGGTTTCAATCCATTTTAATGTATATATTGGAGAAAACTGCCAAGCATGTTAACGGCGGGCCATAGCCGAGTGGTCTAAGCGTTGGTTTTCGGTACACCTCTTGTTGTACGCAAGAGTTCGAATCCCGTCTTCGACAAAATTAATAAATATTTTTAATTTTTCATTTTTTAGTCTATTTTTTTTCGGCATATAAAAGTATTAATGACTGCTTTAATATTCGAGAAATAGTTGTTTTCATACGCTCTCGGGAAGGTTACAATTGGGCTATTCCCCTCGGCAAGCCTCGGGGAATAGCACAATTCTAACCTTCCCTTGAGCGTAATAAAACAACTATTCTCTCAAAGCAGTCATTAATACTATACTATTACATTTTGTTTTCAACTATTGAATTTATATGTACTTTGTATAAGCTTATCATGTTCATATTGAAAAGGAAATTAATCAATAATTTTTTTAATATTTTTTTATATTTGTGTGAATCAATCAATAAATTGATCAGTCACACCTTGCTAAACTTTGATTAAAGTAGGCCTATACATTTTTTGATCAATTTGCATTTCTTCTCTTACTGGAACATAATTTGTCCTTTTTTTTCTCTTTTTTTTTCATGCCTCTTCTTATTTTTTCATTAGAGAGTATTACGTTACTGAATTGTTGCATATCAAATTCCAAACTCATGGTCGTAACCTTCGTAGTACACAAGACACATTTATTTTGCAAATACCCCATATAAAACCAAAATAACCCTAGGGGACCGGTCATTTCTCTGTGCTGCCCTAGATTATGGAATAAATTACCACTAGAAATAAGGAAAGCCCCATCACTAAATAATTTTAAATCAAAACTGAAAACTCACTTGTTCATATAGTATGTATAGCACAGCATTTACGAGCTCTTGCAGCGCAATAGAATATATCCACATAATTATTGCGCTTTACAAATGAATATTATTATTATTATTATTATTATTAATCAACCATGTGATATCAATGTATTTGTTTGACAGGATTACCTGCTGCGATAGTGCTCCTAACTGGTGTTATCTCGAGACAGAATTACGCCAACTCCGACTAGTAAGTACTCTCTACATTATGCTCATGCTATCCAACAAACATTCAGAATGTTAGAGAATGTGTTGTTGTCTAATTTCTTGTAAAGACCATCGTGTTTTATTTCCTGATATGGAGTCATTTATTGAGTTGAATCAGATTTAGTTAATTCTCAGCTGCTACGGTAACAGAGAAAAGAAATCTTTCAGATAATAACCAAACTTCACTGAAAACTGCAACTATCGAAATTAGTATGAATGTACGAAAACAAAAAAAGCAGAGGAAATCGAGCTAATCTTCCAGCCAAAGACTGGTTACTTTGATTACTTCGCAACCTTGCGGTTTATTTTGATGATTTCAAGTTGAACATCTTTCGAAACATTCAATGCCTACAAACCTTTCAGAAACATGTTAAAAAGGTTTTATTTACTTAGAGTAACTAATGATATTATGTTGATAAAATTCTGGAGAAAGATTTGTGTGTTTTGTTTTGTATAGCGCCTTGAGTAAGTTATTTTATAAGTGCACTCTATAAGTAATTATTTATTATATTATTATTATTATTATGTCATCTTTATTCACTGCTATTGTTTGATTTCTGCATCTATTTTTATACAAGCCATTACCAGAATTTAGATTAGCATTTTGTAAATCTGTATATTAAGATGATTATTTCCCTTTTCAATTGTACAGCTGTTTTCTTCAGAAATGGCCTCTCGTGGGCGGTCTGCTGATCCCAATGGCCTTCATTCTCGCTCTTAACCTGATCATCTTCGCTCTTGTTATGCGTCGTCTCATGCGCATCAAATCGGGTGGCAGGAAAGCAAGCGAATCAAATTCAGCAGCCCGCCACGAGATCATGCGCCGTCTCAAAAACGGGATTGGCGTCCTCCTCCTACTCGGTTTGACCTGGCTGGTTGGATACTTCACCGTGATCGAACAACTCAATCTCGCAGTCCATGTCATCTTCATCCTACTCAACTCTCTCCAAGGATTCTTCATCTTTGTTTTCTACGTTCTCCGACAACCGCAAAGCCGTGCGCGTTTGCGGGAACACCTGGGTTGCTGTTTCCAGGATTTACCCTTGACGACAGATGCAGGTCTGATGAGTATCAAACAGACGACAGTGACAGGAACAGAGAATCCGTATAACGAGTCTGTGTTGAGCAAATCTGATAACGATGAACATATCTCTGGAGAATGTGAGTAATGATTTTCCTGCACAACTCACATTTCCTTTCAATATTAAATTTTTGTAAAGGCCCACTCATTTGTAAAACTCTGAGTTACCACTCTGCTTTTAACAGTTAAAGGCAATTTGAAAGAATTTTTTTTCCCTTTTTTTTTACATTCAGTTTCTGAGAAAAAATAGTTTTGATGGTGGCTATTTTGTGAAAAACTGACTCAACAAAACTTTAAATATTGAAATTAGCTGACATCATATCCGTAGCTACAAAATGCAAATTATTGAATGCTAAATTTAGATATTTCAAACGGTTTTCATATATAACATTTAACAAAAAACAATTTAAGGTGTACTGCCAACCAGGGCGGGGGGGGGGGGCGTCTTTCAAATTGTAGGGGGCACCTACAAAAAGGGCACTTTCTGAAGTAAAAATAGGGTTACCTACAAAGGGAAATCTTGAAGTGAAAATATACAATGTTTATACATCTTTACATAGTCCAAAATATAAACGTTATACTTTGCAGTTCGGTGTGATTTTTAAGATTTGGGATGTCGCTGTACAAAAGAATTACATTTTCCAAAGAAGGAAAAAACAATCCTGATGGGGATTTAAGCACAATCTAATTAGTGATAGTGATAGTGGTGGTTATTTTGCCTGACAGCTAAGAAAGCAGTAAATGCTTGTTAGTATTAAAGCAACAAGGAGACTGACGGCTTAAAGGTCCTCTCCGAGGAACCTGGCAATGAGGATTAATGCCTTACCATCGACTCGGTTTCGAACGCGGGTCACCGGATAACGAGACCACTGCTCTACCGCCTGAGCTATCGCGCCTCCTCTGAAACATAATTATATCAATTTTAGGGCTAATATCCAAAAGGAAAAGGATACTTTAATATTAGAAAAGAAAAAGAGTACATTTTACAGTAAAAAGCCGAATTGTCAGAGGTGAAAATGGGGCGCTTCATGCACCTAATAAAGGGCACTTACCAGAAATGGGGAAAGGTAGTTATGAGAATGGAAAAGGGTCACTTATTACAAAGGAAAGGGGCAATTATCAGAAATAAATTTCACTAATTAGAAAGAATAAGGGGCACTATTAAGAATGAAACAAGTGCATACAAAGGAAAAAAAGGCACGTGTCAAAATAGAAGGGATGCCTCTCAAATTTTAAAAGAGGCAATTACAAGAGGTGAAGGTGCATTTATCACAGATGGTATAAAGGGGCACTTCTTGTACCTGAAAAGGGTCACTCACGCCTCTGCTGCAAACTTAAAGATACCATGTCCCAAAATTAAAAGGTTAAACTCCTACTACATTTGAAAAATAATACTGATTTAGAACCTTCCTCAAAATGAAAGGGCTTTAAGATGGCTTTTAGTGGGGAAATAACGACCTTTAGTTGTCGAATGAACATAAGTGATTGTAATCACCTTTGTAATAGTCCGATTTTCAGACCCTTTTACCGAATAGTTGTATTTTGTGCTACACAAAGATTCAATCAGTTTAATTTTGTGGGTCATTGATGTAGATAAATGCTAATGTACCTGTTACAGCTCATTTTAATGTATGTTATTGCCAAAGAGAAAAGGATGTCAGTCAGTCACATCAATAGTGTCTGACAGTGAAGTCTAGGAGGTAAACTGGTTTCCTTGCCTAATTTGAATACTAGGAAACTGATAGTCTTTAAATTTCACAAATAGGAAATCCATGACATATTCATAATTCCTGCAAAGTTCTACATAATTTGATGTTGGCTGCAAAAGGACATGGTATCTTTAAATACTCGTAATAATACTACCATTTAAATTTTAGTCCTTTGGTTCACATCTTCTGGTCTTGATATTTGTTTCCCAAAATGTAACTACAATATTTACATTCGAAAATTTCTGTCATTCATTGTCTGTCGTTATGTTTGGATGTTTACTTTCGCTTAATACTCAGATGTATCGTATGCTTATATTCATATTGTATTTTCCGTTATTAGTTGTCGTCTTTAATGTGTATTTCATACGCATGATTATCAATGCAGGTTTGTTATGGTGGTGGATCATTACTTTATCGTGTTGTATTTTATACAGAATACTTAGTATGCATATTATTAAAAT